TATGGGGCTAGGAAATTCAATTGGGTGGTAATTGAATAAGGTAGCCGGTGTACAGGCTCTGGAACAAGCTTCTTGTATCGCCTTGGTGCTGGAAACTGCCTTGGTTTGTGGAGGAATTTGCCACTGTGGAGCCAGCCAATTCAGCTCAATGAATCTCCCCACACAAGCTTCTGATACTGAAGGTTGTGTAGTCGCAGACCAATTGATGGATGGCGGTTGCAGTGGTGTCACTCACAGTCGCTCGAAACGATCGCTTGGTTGCCTCGAGAGCTCTCCGAGTTGCCTCTTCGGTGGATTGATTGCTCTGTACGGAAGGAAAATCGCGATTTTCAATGACTCGACGGTGTAAATTCCTTAAAATGTGAGCGCAGCAGGCTTACGTAAGGTGAGCCTGCTTTCAGAACGGGGGAACGCTTCACGTATAAGTCTTCGAAGGATCCGTGACCGGTACAGGCTTCCAGGATCGCAAAAGAACCCTGTGACGTTCCGCGCACTGAGTCAGTGCAGGTTCAATAAGTACCGTAGCGATATAGTGATCTTCGAAAACTGCACGGACGTTTTGATTGGCTTAGCGGCTTTCGAAAGAACTTCCAGTGCGGTCACGTAAATCGCTCAAAACTGCACGGCTGACTGTAGATAGATAAGCCTCGCGATCTCAAATAAATCCAGATCTGCTCCGTGACTCGCTGAAAGAAGCTGAAAGGAATATGCCCTTGTCACAAAGAGATATATCACGTACACCGGTGATAAACAGTGGTTCGTCTTCGGACGTAAAAGACTTGGTATCAGTAGCCAAAAGGGGTGCGAGCCAATAAGTCTCCGAAACTCCAACACGGGACCAGTACAAGGACGGCTTCTTTCGAGTAAATTGGCTGCTTTTCCTCTCTTCTGTGCTACCTGGTAGCAAGTACCGAAGCTAGTTGTTGCCGTCGGCAATGAGGTTGTCCGATTTTAGGTCCTTTCCAAGGCAATGATGATGGTGTTGGCCTTGTAGGGTTGGTAGAGAACCAAGTCAAAGGTTCCTGTCACTGTGGTGATGGCTGGAACTATCAAAATCGATCAGAAGGTTGTTGACTTAGGGCTTCGAAAGTAGGCTTGAAATCAACACCAAATTCCAATGAAATCAACTGTAGACCAATATATTGTAGTGTAATTCGAAGAGGTCCTTTTCTCGTCAAGGAGGTCTCTTCTTCCCTTTTAAGAGAACTGCCTGCAAATCTATGCTGACTGTTAATCCAACAAGTTTCTTGGAGGTTCAGTTCCAATACCCAAGTAGTGGACTGGGGCTCGCTGAAACCCTTCCTCAGGGACAGCGGTAGTCAGGCAGTTCAGGGAGCCTTGTCGTGCCTCAGGAGTGTCCCAACACCTCCAGTAGGCACCAAACCAAGGACTTGGTCCTGTCAGTCAGACAGGAGGGCCAGCAGAGCTCTCTGCTGGGCCCTTTTGGGCCAGCTCTCCTCAGGAGCTGGGAGCCTTCGTTATTCAATCGTGCAGTGGCAGTCTGGGAACAGTACTATCTGCTACCTCCTACTGCTTCTGCCCGGCCTCAACAGGATTGGTATCAACTGCTGCGGTATCAATGGGGCTACAAGCTAATCAGGATCGGTCTCAATCTTTCGTACTATTTTCTTAACTATGGTAGAAAGGACGATCCTTTCTTGCTGCTTTGGCTGGAGATAAGCCAGCTGCGGGTGCTGGAGCTGTAGGCCAGCATAGCTGTTGGAGCTATCTCTGACGGGATCCAGAGCTCTCGCTCCTAAAAGTTATCGATACAGGTAGCTATATTCTTATGTATGAGAGCTAGATTCTCGCGTGTTTGAGCCAGATTCTCGCGCGTTTGAGTTAGATTCTCGAGTGTTTGAGTTAGATTCTTGCTTGATACAGCTCGACTTTTATGTTTTTGAAATACATACTCGTATATTTCAACTTTGTTGTTAAGCAAAACTTCTATGTCAGCGAGATCTCTTTTTGGCACACACGTAACAGAAATATATTCTCGTCGCGTATTTTTGCTTTATTGTCTTGTGAAATACATTGGTTGTCGTATTACACTTGGCAAGAGCTATATTCTTGCATATTTTAGATTGCTCATATTATGTAATGCAACCTGACTTCAATGTCGCGTGATAGCATTACATTTTTTGTGTTAGAGCTAGATTTTTGTGTGTTAGAGCTGAAATTTTGCTTGTTTTCGCGCATTAGAGCTATGTCTTACATTTTCGTATGTTACAGCTACATTCTTCTTGCATGTTAGAATTATATTCTTGCGCATTTTAGATTGTCTTTAGGCAAATTTCATTTCTCTTTCTAAATGTCACACGCACGCGTTGCAGAGCTACTTTCTCATATGTTGTGTATCAGATGCATGAAAAAATACTTTTTCTCGCGTTTTAGTTGTGTCTATATCATGACAGAGCTATATTTTTGGTTTTTAGAGTAGATTCCTTGTGTAGTATTAGAGTGCTGCTCTCGCATGTCAGTTTTGACTAGTACATTCTGATGAGTATTTTAGCTTTATTGTTGTATTCAAGTGAGTCTCTTTCTAGTACACATGTGAGAGAATTATTCTCGTGTGTTTTAGTAGCTTTATTATCATGTGAAATAAATTATTCTTTGTTATGGTGTTACATGAGTGAGAGAGCTAGAGTTTCGCGTGTTTTAGCTTTGGCAGTACTATATCATCGTGCAATTTGGCTTTGGTATCAAGGAGTGTAATAGAACTACATTTTCGCGTGCTGTCAGAGCTTCTGAATCAGTTTGGTATGTTAAAGAGTCTACTATATTCTGATGTTGTAAAGCTATATTTTTGTGTGTTAGAACTACATTATCTCGTGTTTTAGATTTGTTGTTGTAGCATATTAGAATTATATTCTTGCGTGTTTTAGCTTTGTTGTTGTGTAAGATTTCTATGCTGGTGAGACGCGTCTGATAAGTATATTCCCATGTATGTTAGCTTGCTGTTGTCATGTGAAATGCATTTATTGTCGTGTCATACGTGGAATTTTGTCTGTATTATGCCATGCAATTTAGCTTCCAAGCTATATTTTTGGGTGATAGAACAAAACATCATTGTGTTAGAGTTACATTTTCGCGAAATAGAGCTACATTTTCGCGATTAGAACTACATTTTGTGGGTCGGAACTGTGATCTAATATGTTAGAGCTATGTTCTTATGTGTTAGAATTATCTATAAATTTTGAAGAATTGCTATGTCAGAAAGAGATGTTATCGCGTAATAGAGTCACGTAATGTTGTCGTGCAATGTAGCTATATAAATATGTTTGGTAAAAATATCAAAAACATCATAATATAACAACAAATTTAATAAATTTACTTTAAAATGAATTCATTTTTGCTTTTTGTTTTAGAAAAAATATTTTAACTCCCAGTATAACAGTAAAATAACGACTGTCAACAGTCAACAAAAACAACGTTTTGCAATTGGACATTTGCAATACACAGTTCACCCCCCAGCCTGAGCAGCTACAGATAGCTGGAGTAGGTATACATCTGCTTAACTCTCAATCAGTTTGGCACCAAGCCTTGCAGCTGTGACGTTCTAGCAGCACCTTTATTCCACTCTTTTTGAGGCCTTCCAAACAGCAGTTAGATGCCCCATACAATTTTCTACAGTACCAGAAAGCACCTTATTGTTTTACGCGCACTACTCTACAACCAAGGCAGCTACTGACTTCCCGCTCATATAGATGTTGAAGAGGGCTACAAGCTTGATCCACCCCTGCACTGGTTGTACGCAAATTCCATATGAGCCTCTCACCTCATTGCCTTTCGTTATTTGTTAGTTTACTTTTTTAGCTCCTGGTGAGTCGAATTTGTTATTTACATTGTTTTGCTTTTGTACTCTCACTGGGCTCCATATCCCAGCTCGAATGGCTTCTGGCCGGCCGGGGACGCTCGCGCCGCCGATATACCAAGCGTTCACGAAGGAAAAATATATTTGATGCCAGCCCAACAGGGAGAATGGCCCAACAGGGAGAATTTGGTGAGAACCTCTGGAACACACCGGAAACAGCACCCGAATGCTCCAGACATTCTTTGTGTTTGTTGGCAGCATGTTCCAGAACAAAAAAACTCAGGTTTTGATTCCTCTTCCTTGTGGCCAACACTACCCTACCAGAATAGCAAATAGAGTCACCCTACCAATACCCTGAGATAGGGGATACATAATTGAACATGCCGGTCGCAGTGGTGGTAGTGGCTTGTTGATTTTCCAGTTATGGGAGCGACGAATGGCCAGGGCAGCCATTTTCTGGCAAGATTTACTCTCACTGATAGGACGGCCCATCTATCCCCCACTACTAGCCCCATTTGACCCATCTGATTGATCAATTCCTTCAGTTAGACAAACAAATAAGATTGGAAAAGCTAATGCTATTACTACTATCAGAAGAACCACCAGAATAGGTGCTGGAGTTGGTGCTGGCTCATATTGGATTTGTGGTCTGGGGCTGCCACTTTTTCTATTAACTCGAGGACCATACTAGTTTCCAATGGTACGATTCTCCCCAATATGTCCATTAGATCAATAGACATGATTGGGTTTATAGCAGAAGGGTGACGCAGTCCAAAATGAAGGTGAAGCTGAGTACTTGGGAATAGTTTGGAAGAAAAATGAAGCATCTAGCTTGACATAAGATAATGCCTTCTACACGGCTGCTACCACCACAACCAGCACATGGCTGCGACAAGCAAAGAAAGTAGATAACTCTACATGTTTAGCTTGGTGGTGTAGGTGCCATATTGGTTGAGTTCATCCTGTAGTCTTCCAGCAGTGTTTTTCAGGCCAACTTTGTGGCTTGTTTGAAACAAGGCAATAAATTATGTCACAGATACTCTTAAAATCAAGGTGTTTAGAATCAATTTATCATATTTTGGCATTTTATTCTAAATGTTTGACACTTCAAGTGAAATTTTGATAAGTGTACAGGCTGGTTTTCTTGTGTTGCGCACATGAGTCCTAGCTGGTATAAACAGAGAGAATTTCTCCCTGTTGGGCTATTCCTACAACTAGTAGCCTGTACTGGTACCGGAATGCTTTAGATATCTTACTATCGGGGTCAATGTTTAATAATTCGTTTGTTCAAAGATCCAAACGGTTCCGTACCGGGTGTCTCCAAGTTTTAGCGCAGCGCAGCCAGCAAACAGCAACAGCAAGCAGCAAAGCGACATCGAAAAATTTCATTCTGACAATGACAACTGTCGATTTGGAGCAATAGAGTATCGCAAGCCAATTTGATAAGGTTCACAACTACATTGTTGCTAGCTAGCCACAAGGGAGGCAGCCACCGCGCCGAGTCTGCACAAAAAGTAGCGCCGTAACAATGATCGAGGGGACGAAGCCGACATCTCGTCGTCATGATATTCACGGCATCGATTCTTTTTTCGCGGCTCACGAGAAGCAAGCTGCAAAGAACGGAGTGAAAGGTGTACGAGCTGCCGAAAAAGACGATGGACATGAAGAAGAGAAAAAGTCAGACGACGACATTTATGCGGCCACGGCCGATTTGACGACTAAATTGATCAAGAACTCCAATCATCCTCGTTTTTCTCTTCATGGAGCGGCATCCATCGAGAGCGAGAAGAACTATCCCAGTACGAGCACCAAGCGCATTAGGGCAGATGCAAAAAAGACATCATTTAGCCCGTCTGAACTGAGCACAGTATCCACAGCCCCTCCAACTCCTGCAGCAGAAGGCGACGTCGGGTTCAAGAATTCTCCCTTGGTGACCCAACATGGGGACGGTGAACAGGACGAAAGCAAAGCACAGGCGAGCGTCGAAACAGAACCTTCGCCGGTAGATCACAAGCAGCAGCCTCCAGCTGAAGAAGAGGAAGAACAACAACAACCAGAGACTGAAGAGGAATCACATCCCGAAGCAGAGGAGGAACAACAACTCGATGAGAAATCAAGAAAATCTGCAGCTGTAGAGGTGGAAGAGGAAGAGCAGCACAACGCTGAGGTGGAAAAACCTGAAGAAGAAACACAGAAAACCTCCAACAGAGAATCCGAAAGGACACCCAGCCCCACCATTGAGCGCGAAGTTACACCGGAAAGTCCTGACACAGGCCGTAACGAGCACGATGAGGAGGTTGCTGTTCAACACAGCGATGATGATGATGATGACGGATTTCCACATCCAGGGGAGAACAATGATAGCGACGACGGCGGTGGTTTCCAATTGGCTGGCAATGACGAAACACCGTTCAAGTCTCTAAAGGTAACTGAGAACGAAAAAGACAATGTGGAGAAGACTAGCTCGGAAGATGATCCCAAAGAAGAAGAATTGGACAATAAAAAGGGTGAAGGGGAGGCGCCCAATTCGAAATCGTCCAAGAGAACACCATCTCGGAAGAAGAAATTGGCGCGGGACGAAGACGAAAAGGACGAAGGGGAAACACTCAACTCGATTTCCACCAAGCGAACACCATCTCGGAAGAAATCGACGCGAGAAGACGAAGAGGACGACGAAGGGGAAACGCGCAGTTCGAAATCCAACAAACGAACACCATCTCGGAAGAAGAAATCGACGCGAGAAGAAGAGGTCGACGCCGAGGAGGAAGAGGTCGATGAAACAAGTAGTGTGATTCATGGCGCGGACTCTCCGCAAACCACGCGAGGTTCTCGGAGCCACCAGGACTCTGGAGAAGAGACCAAGAAACCAGAGAAAAGGGTCAAATCCAACAAAAGCCAAAAGGGAAAGGCCAAGAAAAAGATCGGGTCGACCAGGGACCGCTCGCAGAATTCCGTCACTCCCGAGACTGTCCTTAACAAGAAGAAACGCAAGAAGGTCAACTTCGGGCCATCTACGGAAGGGTATCCTGTTGGTCCTCGCGGGTATACCTCTGTGTCCATTGAAGAATGTGTCGAGGACTCTGGTCGGACTGATCTCCGCCGCTCGAGACGCGCCAGAACCCAACCATTGCAGTACTGGAAGAACGAGCGCTTCGTTTATGGGGCGAACCAAGAAGATGGCGTGCTTGGAGAAGCGATGGGGAACATGCCGGTTGTCAACAGCATCTTGATGGCCGAGGAAACTCCCTACAAGAAGCGAAAGGTGACTGTCAAAAAGATCCAGAAGAAGAAGGGGGGAAAGAAATCAAATGCTGCTGACACAGATTATGGAAAGGACTCGATTCCCTTTGACGACCGAAAGATCAAGAACAAGCACCATTTCTTGGAGGGAGAATCTGCGCTTGTTTGGAATGACGGGGTCAAGAAACCCCGAAATGAGAGTAAGTGTTGGTCCTCTTCTTTTTGGGTGTTCGCATTTCATAATATGCTCACACCATTTTTGCAGAGGTTGTTTCTTTCAGTGAGGACATTGCAAGGCACCCCCTTCCCATTCCTGCTACGAGGAAGAAATCAGACGGGAAGGCAGTCGCTTCTGCTGCCCAAGCATTCAACATTCGCAGTGATGAAAATAGTGAGAACTACGTGGGATACATCATGGGCCATCTTGCTCTTCCTCCAAAGGCCTTGAAGGATTATGAGAGCGTGGGACCTTGCGGTACGTGAAGAAGTCTCCCTGGCAAGATGCTTTTTGGCTTCGGTATAGTTGCAATCTCACTTGGTCTCTTCGTTCATCGCAGCTCAAACATTCACCGTCTGCCACGCCCAACCAAATTCAGTGGAAGTCGCTTATGCAGACCCCGAAGAGGAGGCAATGTTTGATTCCAAAACAGCGCAGAGATTCCTCCTTGGCCCTGGAGACATGTTCAGAGTACCTCAGAACAATGTCTACCAAATCAAGAATCACTCTACCAATATGAAGTGTCTGTTGACCTGGACAATCATTCGGCCCCATGACTCACATCACGTGGATGGCTAGACTGTTTTACAATTCACGAATTCTTTCTGGTGGCACAGACAACAGGATGTCAATTGCAGCTGCACAGCGATTTTCGAGCAATGCAATTCTGGGTAATATCAATAATTTGAGGGGTAAATCTATATTAATTAAGTGTCGTTGTATGCTGCCGCGATGAAGGACGAGATGCGTAATTGATTGGGAGCCAGATTGCCTCCGTGCACAATCAGAACTGAGCTGTAGTGTTCTATCCAAGCCTCTGCCCTGCACTGCCTGGACGAAGTCTTCCCAGGCCTAACTTGTCATCTTGGATCGTGTCCTTGATCATTTCCGCCAGGCCTCCGAAGAAACCTTGACTGCGCTGTTCATATTCTTCCCTCTGGCCAATGTTCTCTTGACGGAGCAGGTTGTCCATGACCTGAGCGACTTGCGGGTTTCCTTCTGAGAGTCCCAACTCCTGGAAGACATCATATGCGTCTGTCCACCACTTCTTTGCTTCTTCTTCGTTGCCTTGCATTTTGTGGATGTTTCCTAGAGACAGTATTTCAGGGGTAGAAACAAAATTTAGTGACAAGCTCCTCAGCAAGCAAAAACCAGTGCTACAGGCATCGTACCAATCATGAACAAAACATTTACATAGTCACCGTCGTTCTCGGAATCATTCTCTTGTCGAATGCGGATGAACTCCGTCAGCATGCTCAAAGCCTTCTCATACTCTCCATTCTGAAATTCGAGTGAACCCATCTTTTGCAACACTGCACCAACACTGTCGTCATGTTCTCCAAAGAAATACGTCCTGATAGTAAGAGCTGGCAACAAGAAAATTTTCATCACAGATTAGAGCAAAACCAAGAAAATAAACAGTTCAAGCCAAGGTATTCATCACTGTGTACCTTCTCTGTAGGATCGCATTGCCTCTTCTGCCAGTTCCATGTCGCTTTGGACATTTCCCATTGCAATCAGGGCATCGGCAACCTTCTCATGCACATCCCCAAGTTCAGATCGCCGGATTCTTAGACATTCTTCATAGCACTCAATGGCAAGCTCATGCTCTTGTTTCTCCCTGTGAACATTTCCAATGTTCTTGAGTGTCTCAGAAACCTTGACATGGTCCTCTTGCAGCTTCCTGATGCGCAGTGCATCCCAGAGGAGGGAGAGAGCATCATCCAGCTCCCCTCTCTTTGCTTGCAAAAATCCCATCATGTTCAAGGTGTCACCGACCTCCTTGGCATCTAGACCTAGCTGTACCTTGCGAATGTTCAAGGACTCTTCAAAGCAATCCAGTGCCTGATCAAGGGAGTCCTGGTTCTGAAGAGTATAACCCATGCTGTAGAAAGTTTCTGCTACAGCAACATGATCATTTCCAAACAGATTCTGACGAATGTCCAAAGCCTCAAAGTACTTGTCCATGGCGTCCTTGTAATTGGCATTGTCATCCATGAGATCACCTAAAACACAACAAAAGAACAAGAATCAGATGCCACCATTTTCCAGCAGCCTTGATTGTTGCTTGTAATGTGACAGGTCATTCCAAAACTCCACAAACACTGACCTAGCTCCTGCAATACTGTTGCTACTGCCTCATGGGTGCCTCCGTGCACTTTCTTCCTGATTTGCAACGCCTCTTCCAGTGCATTCTGGGCCTTTGTTGTCTTCCCCATTTCTCGTGCGAACTTTCCTATCTTCTCGTAGGTAATAGCCACTTTCTCACTTTCAGGCAGTCTGAGCTTCCTGATTTTGAGTGCCTCCTCCAAACACTTCAGCGCCTTGTCCAAGCGACCCCGGTTTTGGTGTAGAAATGCCATGTTGTACAGTGTGCTAGCGACATCCAAGTGAACATACCCCAATACCTTCCGACGAGCACAGAGACTTTCTTCGAACAGCTTCATTGCCTTCTTGTGCTGGCCAAACATCAAATACATGCAACCTATCAAATGCAAGAGAGAGGCCACTTTCTCCTTCTGCTGGGGGCACTTGGTCACGAGGATGTTTAGCGCTTTCTCATAGCACTCAAGACCTTCTTCCTGACGACCACTAATACTCGAAAGAACTCCCTCAATCGTCAGTACGTCAGCGTCCCGTTCAGGTCCACCATCAGGGTCAATCTCCTTCAGCTGGATGGCCTGTTCAAAGTGATCAATGGCCTCAAACCTGCTGTCTTGATCAGCCAAGCAATTGCCCAAATGATGGTAGAGTGATGCGAGCTCCGGATGCTCTTCGCCAAGGTCAGCTTGCTTCGACTTGAGGGCTTCTTGAAAACAGAGCAGGGCTTCTTCAATTTCTCCCTTACTGTAATGAATGTTGCCCAGATTTTCCTGTATGTCACCAATGTCAACCCTGTGGAGACTCGGCTCAATGTGCATCACGTCAAGAGCCCAGTTGTAGCTCTCCATTGCTTCGTGGTAGTCGCTCATATTCAAGAAGACATCGCCAATCTTCTGGATGGTTTGAGCATACAGCAGATGGTCTTCACCATGCAGGGCACCACGGATTCTAAGACACTGCTTCAATGAGCTCAGTGATCTTTCATAGTCACTCATTTCCGCATAGACAACACCAACATTAAAGAGAATCGCCGCAACAATCTCAACCATACCTATAGAAGAGACTAGCAGCTCTTGGCTCTTCTCCCAGTGAGCTATTGCAGCATCCCAACACTTTTTGTCCGCCAGAGAAAAGCCAATATCATAATGAGCACGTCCAACTTCAACTCCTTTCACACGGTTGTCCTCTGGGCCACCTGAATCTTCATCCATTTCAAGCTGCTTGCCAAGCGTTTCATAACAATCTCGCATGACGGCTTTCCTGTCTCGCTTCTTCTTGCTTCGAGACCTCACCTCTGGCATTATGTTGAACAGATGTTCACAGTCCTTGATGTGACGCCGAGTGGCATTTTCTCGACTTAAGGTGTTGGACATGATGACATGGTGGATAGGATAGGCAAATGGTCTGAGAACCCACAACATTCCAAACATGACAGAACTGCCATCCGAACTTACCCCAAAAGGAACAACCGCCCACGAACAAACCCATTATTCGATAGCAAATCCGCCGCAGAGACATCCATTCCACCACGAATCATATGAGAGGGAAGCATTTCAAGAGCATAGTCAAGGGCAGCATCCGGAAACTCTGAATCCCAGTCTCTATCCCCTGCAAGGAACGCGTGCGCAAATGCATTGTTCCACCGCCGTTCAGCATCCTTGGTGAGTTCTCGGAGTGAGTCATCGTCACGGCACAACGATTCTCCGTATTCTTGCTGGATTGAGTGCATGACTTGCAGGTATTTCTCCTCTCCCTGGTTCTCTGGTGGGTTTTCTCCACCTTCTTCCTCTGGAGGCTCTGAATATGTAGCAATGACTTTCAATACACCAAGTGCAGACAATGCCTCGGGGATGAGTACTGCAGCTTCTTTCTTTTGTTCGTAGAAAAGGCTTCCTTCTTTCAGCAGAGTGTTCTCCTCTAGTTCTAGAAGTGATTCGAAGAACAATTCCGCCATTGGCATGGGCACCATGGGGAAATCTTCGATTAAAGCAAACTCTGAAATGTGATTCCGGTCGCAGAAGACAACAACAAACGCGGAGAAGCAGAACTTGATGATGTTTGTTGGCTCCCCATTGATGGCTGGGGAAAGACTCATATTCAAAATCTCGTACATCATATCGGCATCCTGTTGATCTCCATTTTTCAGAATCTTATCCATGGATTTCACAACATCATCATGGATCTCCTCAACGCTGCTAACAACACCAGCAGTTGCATGTTTAAGGTTGAGCCAGCGCCCGACCGATTTGACAGCAAGTGGGTGATTTGCACACTCTCGAACGACTGAACGTGCTTCTGGTGACTCTGCCATGAGAGTCTGTGAAAGATTCTCTCCTGATTCCTGAATCAGCAGTTGAATTGCATCTGCCTCGTCAAGCATATCGATCTCAACTGTGTCAGCAGCAGGGAGCAAATACCGGCACCTTGTGGTTACCTGCATAGAGCCAATAGAAAGTTTTGGAACATGTTAGTGCTGGCTCGAACTGGAAAGTGTTATGACTGGGTTGTGAGCATCTGCGAATGGGACATACCAATAGAGCAAAGGTAAATTCTTCACCCGGATTCTCTGACTGAATTGGTGCAAAATCAAACCAATCAAGATCAGCTTCGTAGCAAATGTCATCCAAAATGATCAACACGTCCCTATATTGCAAGAAGTCTGCGATTGTCTCGCGAACATGTAACATGAAGCCCTCCTCCCGACGCCGCCGCTTTGCCCTTGTCTCGCCCGGTGTGTGTATCAAGTCGGGGAACATGGGAACTTGCTCATCGTCCTGGCAGAAAGAGAAGAGTCGAGTCAGCCAAACCTAGTGTACACCATTTACAATGGTACCTACGAGAAATTTCGAACATCCTTACCTCGAGATACAGTTGAGCCAGCAGCTCTCTCAAACATTGGGTGTATCGAGTATAGTTGAGTTCCATTTGACCAATGTAAATCCAAATGACCCCATCCAAAAAGAAACGCCTGACATCTGCATGGTGGGCAACCATGGCTGCAAGCGTTGTTTTTCCAACACCATCCACACCAAGGGACTCTGGGTCACTGAACAACTCTGGAACGGATGAAACAGCCACAAGGTTTGTAGCTGATAATCCCCGAGGGTTTCGTATTGTGTTTCGAATGCTTGCAAAGCTGTCCAGCAGGGATGTATCTGTGATGGCCCTGGGTGGTAGGATCCTGCGCAGAATGCTGGCCATGGCAGCTTTTCGAGGCAAAGGATCACCGTGGACTTTCTCGAGCACCTGTTTCGCGGCATCTGGAACTGGAGCCATCTCGTAATCGTCGCCTGGTTGAATTCTAGACTCGTCCATGTCAGCCGGATCGATTCCGCAGATATCCATCAACACTCTTGTGTCGGGGCACCACTGGTCAGTGCTGACTAAAACCTCGTAGCACACTTGGCGAAACATCCAAATGTCATCCGTAACATCCAAAGTCTTGAACTCCTCCTCATGGCCTGTTTCGGTCCAGGCTTCCATCAGATGATCTGATAGTGGATATTCAGGTACTTCGACGTCATCGTATAAGCATGACACTTCCAAAGCATCTCGCTCGAGCATTTCAAGCAGAGTGACATACGCAGTCTCCGCTCTCGGGTTCCATTCATGCCTTTCTCCCACACGATGTGTTGACTCAACCAAAAGGTCCATGAGGGAATTTAATCGATAGAGCAGATCATCCATCTCCTCGTCTGGTTCTTCATACAGATAGTCTTGTAGGATTGGTTTGAGCTGTGTGAAAACATGATTGAGCTCAGGGGCGAAACTGAGAACTGCCTGAAGCGCATCAATTGCAATATTGTCCTTCTTGCTGGCAAACGTCGAAACCAGTTCCAATTCGTCCGACAACTGAAGTAATATTCCCAGCAATGCTTCAAAACCAAGAAGGAGCCTGCGAGCTGACGAGTCCATGTCGGCATCATCAATGTCACTTCGGTTCTCCTCCTCTTCTAATTCAAGCATCGCGTCATTCAGGTTCTCCACCAGATCTAGGAGTGCTTCACTCCTCACATTGACTTTAGGGCGATTCTTCTTTGCCTTTTTCTTTTTCTTCTTTTTCTTCTTCTTTTTCTTGACCACTCTGTCTGGGTCTTCCTGCCCCTCCTCGCCCAAATCCTCCTCTGCTATTCCCAGGAGCTGGTTGTTGCGATCCTGAGCCGACCTTGCTCCATCACCGTCGGTCTGGAGGTAGCCACTTGATGCCAGTGTTCCGTCTATGCTAGCATCTGGGAAGAAGGCACTATCGTTGACTGACTCGTTTCGTCTTCCGGAATAGTCGAGGTCCTCATCAGGGCTGAGCGACCCTTCATCGTTTTCCTCGTCTATGCTGGCCAAATCATCAAGGAGCCTGCTGCCGGCAGAGCTTTCTTCGTCTGCTTCCACAATTGATTCAAGTTCTGCACCATCCGCATATTGGCTACCAGGACTCTTTAAACTTCCCGAGCGCAAGCTTCCTCCGGGTGAATACTCTTCTTCGTCATCATAGGAATTGTAACTACCACTGCGGTAACTGCCGTCCTCCTGGCTGGTGTAGGATCTGTCTTCATCGCCTGTTCTGTCTGTTCTGGAAGAGTAAGAGTCTTCTCCGCTTATGTACGACCCTTCTTCCTCGATTTGAGACAATGATGCTCCGCTATGGTAAGAACCACTGACATACGAGTCCTCTTCTCCACTATAATAGGACTCGTCTTCACCGCTCCGGTACGAGGCGTCCTCCTCTCCGCTCCGGTACGAAGCGTCTTCTTCCCCCGACCGGTATGAAGCCTCGTCCTCTCCCGACCGGTACGACGCATCTTCCTCACCTGACCGGTACGAAGCATCTTCCTCTCCGGAACGGTATGAACCGTCTTCCTCTCCACTAATGTAGGAATCCTGTCCACTCACATAAGAGCCTTCATCACCTTCCGCTCCACTAACAAAGGAGCCTAAGGAGCCTTCATCTTGCCCGCTCACATAAGAGCCTTCATCACCTTCCGCTCCACTAACAAAGGAACCTAAGGACCCTTCATCTTGCCCGCTCACATAAGAGCCTTCATCACCTTCCGCTCCACTAACAAAGACCAAGAGCCTAGTCGAGCCTCATGCTCGATCTTGCCATCAAACGAGCCTCTCCCTCCAGCTCCACTGACGAAGGAACCTTCATCTCCCGCTCCACTAACAAAGGAGCCTAAGGACCCTTCATCTTGCCCGCTCACATAACTGGCATCGTCGCCATCCGCTCCACTAACCAACGAATTTTCGGCCAAAGAACCAGCATCCTCCCCGCTTGCGTACGATCCTTCCGCGCGAGAATCAAACGAGCCCTCCTCGCCTCCAGCTCCACTGACGAAGGAACCTTCATCTTCCGCTCCACTAACAAATGATCCCAATGATCCCTCGGCCAAAGATCCAGCATCCTCCCCACTCGCGATCGATCCTTCGGCGCGAGAATCAAACGAGCCAGCATCCTCCCCACTTGCATAGCTCCCACCAGCACTCCCTCCCTCCGCATCTATGTCATCACCATCACCGGCATCATCGATGTCGGGCTGTGATCCTTTGTCCTCGTCGTAGGAATCATACGACCCTTCTTCCGCATAAGACCCTTCCTGGTCGCTGTAGACGCTGCCACCTTCGCTGCCCCCTTCACTGTAGCTTCCATCATTGTTGGATTCCATAAGCTCCGAAGCTGAGAAGCTGTCTTCCTGTTCACTCCCACTTCTGCTTCCTGTGTCCTCTAAGGATCCATCATCACTGCCTTGAAAAATTTCAGAAGCAGACAGACTGCCATCATCATCCGCTTCTAGGCTGCCGTGTTCATCTGCCTCGGAATGTGAATCATCCTGCTCGTGAATGTCTTCTATTTCCTTATCACGAGCACTATCAGCCCCCCTCGAAAGAAAGCTTTCCTCACCAGCGGTCACCAGAGAGGGGAAACTGTCATCAACTGTACTTTGCACATCGTCTGTACGGTGAGATAAAAGGGTTGGAAGGCTGTCGTTAATCGGTTCTTCCTCATCTGAAGCAGCACTTCTGTCCTCTCCGTAAACCGACGACCCAGCGCTGACATCATCGTCCTCATTCATTGACCCGTCGCCTATGTCATGCTCATCCTGGCTGCCCCCCGACAAAGCTTGACTTCCCTCCGACAAAGATTGACTGCCCGCTGACAAAGCCTGACTGCCCTCTGAAAAAGCTTGACTTCCTTCTGACAAAGATTGGCTGCCAGGGCTTAAACTGGCACCTCCCCTTCCCAAATCGCCAGAACTAGCCATGCTGAAGGGTGATTTTGGCTCTTCGGATCTCCTTGATCCACCCGACACAGGCGAAAGCGGTTGACCTTCGCTGTCAACGCTGCCAACGCTGCCATCGCTTTGCGGAGGTAGACTCATGGCGGCATTGTAATCTTCCCCTGAACCCAACGAACCATGTGAATTGTTGGGGTCTGCCGCTTTCGCTGCAGGGGATGCCGCGACCTCCGCATGTACCTGTCTACTATTTGAATCGGTCGTGCTCTCAGATTTGCCCTCGCCGCGGCTTTTTCTTCTACTGCCCGCAACGGCTCTGCTCTCTTTGCCAGCTGGCAAATTGGCTAGACCTGCCTCCTCTTGGTTTGATTTGGCGGGTTCTTCGGGTGTCGCTTCGGCCTCCTCCATCAGAAGGTCGTCCCCAATATCAGTTTCGAAGAGGTCAGCATCGTCGATTTCCAAGCTTACGTCGTCAGCCCCAGCATGGTCGCCGAAATCCGATTCGAAAGATCCAAGCCCCGAGGCGTCCAGATCATCTGCGCTGTCGTGATCATCCAAATCCATGTCCATTCCCGACATGTCGAATTCAGCTTCAAGCTCATCACCGATACTTCCGGCGGGTTCACTGTTGGCATCGCCCTCGTTGGCTTCATCTCCAGGGAGCGGACTGGGATTTTCGTCACCGTTGCGAATCGAACCATCTTGGTGCGTCCCAGCATCTCTGCCTCCAGGGTCTTCGTTGTTGCTGTGGACGCTCAGATCTTTCGCAGTTTCCGGTTCTGGACCAGGCCCATCTTCAGTGCCAAGAGCCTCACGGGACCCAGACAAATGACTCCCGCCCGATCCCTCACTATAGCTACCTTTGGAGTCTCTGTCGCCTCCGTCACCCATGGACCCCGACAACTGAGAACCGCCTGAACGATCCGAGTAGCTCCCATCAACAGATCCGACTTCATCGCCCCCAATAGATCCATCCACGTTGGATCCATCTGAAACATGATCATTCAGACTTGCTGCCGACCCGGCACTAACAAAGCTATTGTCATTTTCTCGCACAGCCTGACTCCCAGCGGAGCTAAAGGACCCATCATCGATACTCTCCTCGAAGCTGCCCTCGTGCGACCCATCAACAAGCTTGCTACCACCAAATGCAGCACTAGCACCCGAAGCCTCGGCAAACGAATCAAAGTTCTCATCTGCATCACTGCTCGAATCCTCAGTGGCCGTGCCTAGAAAACTGTCTTGAGCTTGGCTTCCAAGCGGTACATCTCCGACGTTGTCGCTGTTGGTGGTATCGTCCGCGAAAGTGACTCCAGCACTGCTATAAAAGGACGAGACATTCGAATCTTGTGCAAACGTAAAGCCGCTGCTTTCGCCGCTCGTTTCTCCTCCTCTGGATTGGACGTGTTCACTATGGGGCTGACCGTCTTCTCCGGAATCGGACGCATGAAGGGAAGGCCTCGATTGTGACAATACAAATGACTGCTCTTGATCTCGTCTAGAATCGACGCTGTCTCCGCTGCCGCTGTCAACGGAACCTCTACTTCCAAAACTGCCTTCGTTTCCAATGTCGTCGCTGAGAGCACCCGAATAGTCGCTATGTTGACTTTCGCCGTCTTGAGATTGCGGGCTTCCTCCAGGGGCTTTGTTCTTTCCATCAAATCCCTGTTTTTGAATTTCTGCCCCCCCTGAAAACTCATTTGACCTTTCTTTTTGGTCTGTTTGACTGTTGTCGTGTAGGCCCTGCTGGGGAAGCATGGAAGCTGGAAGCTGTTGTTGTGAAAATTGTAGGCCGCTATCATTTGCAAAGCTGTCATAATTCGAACTCTTCGATATCGAGTTTCGGGTGTCATGTCCATCATGAAGGGACCCTGACTCTTGCGACAATACAAAGGATTGTTCTTGATCTTGTGCACCTTTTGACCCACCATGATCGGAGTGTGAGCCAACTGAACCAGACCTGTAGGAAGAACCCTGGGATCGAGGCGACTGTGATCCCTCCGACCCTGTCCTATAATCACCAGATCTGTAGGAAGCAGAACCATCGTCGTAGGAACCAGATCTGTATGAGCCACCCTCGCCTGATCTGTATGAGCCACCCTCGCCTGATCTGTATGAGCCATCCTCACCTGATCTGTACGAGTCTCCGTAGGAAGAGTGTGAGCCAGTGTAGGAGCGGCTGTCTTCGCCATCCTGGGAACCAGAGTAATCGCTGTCAGAACGTTGGCTGAAAGCCTGCGACAGAGACAAACTATTTTCGTCAGCTGCCCGAGACTCCTCTTCCAGCGATTCTTCGTCACTTGGAACAAAAGCTTCGGACAACTCCAGGCTGCCTTCTTTTGGCTCACTGTCGAGACTCCTGGCAGAACCCCCGGGACCATTGTCAGCGGGACCCTCCCCAGGAAAGCTCCGTTGGCTGCCACCATTCCCACTGCCAGCGAAACTCTCATCTCCTCTGTGAAATGACCCACTTTGAAAGCTCTGTTGACTTCCCTCATCTCTCTCGCTGACAAAACTGCCCTTTCCGCTGTGAATTGATCCACTTTTGTGGTCCCTTTGACTGCCACCATTCCCGCCACTAGCAAAACTCCCGTCCCCACTCTGGAAAGATGCACTTCCATAGCTCCGTTGACTGCCTTCATCTCTCTCACTGACAAAACTACCCTGTCCACTGTGAATTGATCCACTTTTGTGATCCCTTTGACTGCCACCATTCCCGCCACTAGCAAAACTCCCATCTCCGCTGCGAAATGATGCACTTCCATCACCTAGTTGACTTCCCTCGTTTCTCTCACTGACAAAACTTCCCTGTCCACTGTGAATTGACCCCTCTTTTTGATCCTTTTGACCGCCTTCATCTCTTAAACTCCCATTTCCGCTGTGGATTGACCCGCTTCCAAAACTCCTCTGGCTGCCCTCATCTCTGCCACTGACAAAGCTTCCATCACCACTCCGATATGATCCACTCTCATAGCTACGTTGGCTTCCTTCACCACTTCTGTAGCTCCCATCGCCACTTCTGTAGCTCCCTTCACCGCTTACGTAGCTCCCTTCACCGCTTACGTAGCTCCCTTCACCGCTTACGTAGCTCCCTTCACCACTTCTGTAGCTGCCGTCGCCACTGTGAAATGATCCGCTTCCGTAGCTCCCTTTGCTGCCCTCTTCTTGGCCACTTTTGAAGCTTCCATCCCCACTCCGATACGATCCACTCTCGTAGCTACGCTGACTTCCTTCACCGCTAACATAGCTTCCTTGACCACTTCGGAATGAGCCGCTCTCGTAGCTCCTCTGACTGCGACTTTCGTTGGATTGGCTACCGCGGCTGTGGTGGGAGTTTTTTCTGTCGCCCTCCCTAAAGCTTCCCGAGCCTTGGCTTCGGTAGCTTCCTTCGTCGTCATAGCTGCCCCCAGAATAATCGCTGTAACTGTTGTCTTCGCTCATTGCTCTTTCTTCTTGCTATACTTCCGTAGCATTAGTCTCTGGGATGGGGTCCGACAGGGTAGGTCTGCTCTTGTGAAAGGTCGAGTCGTTCATGAAGGAGATCTCTGTCTCTGGAAAAAATGAAACAGCAAAATGCACGAGTGGAGTTCTTTACACTGGGTCCAGCCGGGCAATTTTTGGGAGCTTTCCAAATTCCAAAGCACAAATAACCTAACGAAGGCGCTGCTAGTAGCTATACGGTTGTACTGTAAACCCCCGCTCCGGGGTCTAATCCAAGAGGTTCCTTATACGGACGGTGGTACGGTATGCTACAGGTACCGGTACCGTGCAACCACAGATACACGTAGTTGTGAAAGGAAGAGAGCTTTAGAAAGGTACCGTAGTTGAGGTAACGAGTTGAAAGCGAAACAGCGACCATGCCGTCGTTCTGACACAGTTGGTTGGGGACGTGCTGAAACCGACGGTTTACATGCTACACCCTCTCCTTCGTCAACACAATCGCATACGTGCTTGTTTCAACGAAAGCGAAGTTGCTTCCCATTGCCTTTGTGGCGGCTCTTTGAAACTTGGGAGTCACCAGGAAAAGCTTGGTATTCTCACTGATAGCGCAAATAGCTATCCGTTTGTTTGACTCATACATCTTGTAATATGCTTTGTGCTTCTTAGCGTCTTCGTCGGAACATAGTGTCATACGGATTGGAATGGCCACCCACTTTCCACCCTTAAGCTTGCCTGAAACAAACTTGGAGAATTCGTCAACCCGAAGGCGCCCTCTCTCTTGAAAAGACTCTGGCAAGAGACCGTTCAGCCCAGCCTGCCTGTCGTTTTCAGTGTAGAAACGAGCCTTGAACTTGATGATAGGCTTGGATACGGAGATGACGAAAGCATCCCTACCCGAGGTGCCCGTCAAATATTTCGATTTCTTTGATGCTTTAGAGGATGAGGGCGTCTTGGAGTTGTGTAGCTTTCTACTAGGCAAGGAAGACTTGACGAGGGACACGGCTAGTGATGGTGGAGCATCTGGCCGATCTTGAATAGAGACACTGTCACCTGCAGGGTCGAATGACTCCATGCTGCTGGCAGTATCGTTTGATCCCGAGGCTGCTAACAAGGTTGGTTCCTGAATATCCTCCGTCTTGAGCTCTGTTTCAAATTCTGGGGTCGCTTCACTTATTGCGGGCACACCTTCGTTGAGAGCACTGCCATTGGGAGCTCCCGAATCGGCGTCAGCTGTAGAGCTTTCCTCAGAGGGTGGGGTTTCACATCTCTTCTGGGAATCCGAAACGTCGGCAACTTGCCCAGGCGGAGCTTTCCAGTCGCCAACAAGCTCCTCGTCGGTCATTGAGACCAATTCTGAAGCTTCCACTTCGCCAAGCAGAACCCTAAGACAAAGTTTGGGGTTGACGCAGTATTCAAATGCCCAACGCAAATTTCGAGCTTTGGTCTTGTATTCGTTCGACATTACGTTTGCACTGGCCGCAATCTGAAAGCGAGAAAACATCTCTTGTTCAATGTCGTATGCCTTTGAAGCGAACAACGTTAAATCAACGAGGTCGTCTGTCGAGTGGATTCCCATCAACTCTGCAGCACGCACAAGGGATTGCTTGAGGCAACTACGGCAAGTTTCGCGGAACGTACCCTCCCGGACGGTCAAATTGTGGGAAGCAACACCGGCATCATCTGAAGCATCATATTCCAGTGAGCTTCGAGCGAGCAATGCATCGCAAAGCTCAAACCTGTCTTGAACCAGATCGGATGGGTTTTCAAATCGGTTAATGCGTCCACACGAGACAGAGGATTGGTGCCGTTTCAAAACTTCTTGTAAGCGCGCTTGAAGGTCGCCCATCGAATCGATCACATCCTTTGATGGTGCAACGACTAGCGAACCAATGCCTTCTTCTATCAACATGGCAACCTCGTCACTCAATCCAAGCAAGTGCGTCATATCATTATCACTGAAAACTCCGTTTCTTTCATCGGAATAGTCCTGGAAATTCTTCTGCACTTCCGTTACACTTTGTTTCCAAGAGTCCAACTTCTTCAAGTCCTCCCTGAGGCTGTCGAACAGGATGGGCAACCACCTTACCACGGTACCCCCCACGCTGTGATGGGCGCCACCCTTCTTGAACACGACCTTGAGCCTCTCTGCTGTTTTGTTTGTTGAGACGAAAATTCGATGAGCCGAGAGAGTCTTCTTAAGGTCCTCGGGTATGTCGAGGAAGAAGCATTTTCCAGCAGCCCAGATCGCTCTCGCATCTGCCTCAGTGACAACTAGTCGTTCTATGACAGTGTCTGCGGTATAGGACACTTGAGTAACTGCAGCACGAAGCGACTCGATCCAGGCAACAGACTGGTCGCAGAACCTTGCATGAGGATGTCGGCAAGAAACTGCATTCGCAAATCCAAATACGCACTTTCCCTTGAACTCACCTTTCGAATCCATTCAAACGCAGCTTTGCCGGGGGTATCTGCGAATACATCTTGTGCCATAGTGGATATGCTCTCCAGCGATGCTGTTAAGGAGGAATACAGTGAACCTCCAACCAATCTATAGAGCAGAAACTCTCCGGACCGTCCCATCAAAGATCGGGTGTTGGGATATGGAGCCCGATCAGCGCCAGCGTAATCCTTCCCCAGAAAATTGTGCAGGTGTGTTTCAAAGGCTCGTGCACTTTCCAACATCTCCGCCACAGCGGCTTCCCTGGGCATCGCAACCTGCAAACCAGTATTGTGAGCTGATGTGAGACAAACGTGCAAAAGATATGATATGCAACAGTCAGCCGGTTGGAACTATACCGTTTGAAGAACTGGATCCTTTGCCAACCGGTAGACCGTCTCTACACTGACTGTTTGTTGCGGGGCACCTTCGTTATCAGCCCCAGGAGCAACGTCGCCCCGACGCTTCCCGCCTCGGAAGGAAAGCTTTGTTACCTTGGTGATCTCTTCCTGCCACTTCGAAGCTGCTTCGAACAGTTCACTGATTCTCAACGAAATGGCGGCGCAGTCACCCATCTTCTCCAAGTCGTTTGGCTTCCTCTCATTCAATGCTACCAGAACATCCCAACTTATCCGTTTCTCTGGGAACAAATCGCACCCTACTTGGTGGAGGAAGTTGTACCCAAAGGTGCGTGTCTGCGCCGAGAGAACTCTTGAGCCAAGCAAAAAACTTTCCGATCACAAAACACAGGTGCACTCACCACCCAACCAAACACCCTGTCAGAGGAAAAATGACAATGAGCTGCATGTCGCCACCAGGAGCCAGCTACACACTTTCCTTTACTTACCTGGAATGGTAGTCAAGTTGCTGTTCTAACTGTTTGTCGAGGGCAAGTACCGTTCCAACCTTGGTAAACGAGGCTCTAAATTGGCGGAGAATCTGCTGAAGACTCGTAAGGTGAATTTGGATTGCTTCCATCTGTTTCCACGACCCGCGCAACAATTCTTTCGCAGCTCCAAGCATTTTTGTCGCTTCATTCTCTAACCGGTCACCTCTGGAAATCAGATCCACAAATTGTTCCTCTCGAGTAGAAAAGAGAAACCCCCATCCTTCCGAGTTTGCTAAAATTGGTCTCTCAAGCATCAGGTTTTTCGCGGCCACAAGAGTCAAGATTGTACCAGTTTCGTGCTTGTTCCCAAACTTTTCGACAAAGTCAGAAACGGAAGCGTTCCAGTATACAAGGAGCAAGAACTTCAGCGGCAACCCTTCTCGTTCATCCTCACGAATGAGGCGGTCGAGTATCGAGCCACAGAGCGGGTGAGACTCCAGTTTCGCTCGAGCAAGCACTCGCATTGGCCTCCTTGAATCTAGTGCTTTCGACATCAACTGCAAGGCCACGGTCGGATCTACCATGTGCTTTTGTCCTGTCTCGTCGGCGAAAACTTGGAGGATCTCACGCCCCTCAGAAACGAGCAAAAACAGCGAGCTCGAGTTTTGCAGCTCCGCCGCTTTCCCCATCAATTGATTCTCCCGAAGATATCCCGTGGCTTCTTTCATCGCATCCACCAGAATCTTATGCCACTGTAGTAGCTCGAGCGATACATCAACGATATGTCTGGCAGGGTCAATGATGATACCAGCGGGACGTCCGCCGACCTGTCTGGTTTCCTGCAGGCGCAGACGTAGCTCAGAAAGCGGTCTGCTTTCATCTCTCGCAAAATCTAGTAGATCCTGGGACCACTTGGTAGCCGTATCGGACACATCTTCTAGGAACGAGCGCTCTTCTGGGAACTGGATTTCCAGATCCTCGTATTCGCGAAGGAGACCGCTTACTCGCTTCAAATCCACCATGGCCAAGGTTTTTTGAGATGATCCGGTGCTTTGCTCTCGATGGTGCTTGATTGCCCCGATAATAGCATCGGCGCGATCTTTCCAAGCACAGCTCCCGGTGTATTTGGTGTTCATTGCTGCGACCAGCGTACCGCAGAATGCATTGACGTCATCCGCCGCAAAGGACCGAATTTCCGCATTCACTTCGTCGTTTGCCTCTGTAGTAGCAATAACTGGAATTCTGGTCTCTGAGCGGCCAGCGAGAATCAGATCTAATGATTTCTTGAAAGCCAGAAGTTCGTTGAAGCTGATGCTTGTTTTGAAGAGATCTTGCTCAGCTCTCGACTTCCACACGAGCACGTCACGGCGAATGAGGAGCATCTCTTCGGCCATTGACAGAACGGGAACCTTGGCCAGCTCCTGAACGGCGATCTGTACGCTTTCCAGTTTGGTAAAATCTTTGTCTGTTGTTTCCGTCGCGCCCATTCTCGAAATGAGAATGCTTCGGTATTCATTGAAGCGTGCCAGATGATCGAAATGGCCCTGTGATATCTGGTTGAGCCGCGCTACTGCTTGTTCGAAAAGGGGGTCCGGAGCCGTGGACGCCGAGCCTTCTTCCGACGACGTCGGCGTAGGAGAAAGCCTAGGCAGTTGGGAAGCCCTAGTAGCCATTTGTTCCACAAATACGAGTCGTTCCTTGGCATGTTCTATTCGGTGCAAGTCAAGATACCAGGAGCGAATGGCCACCGCATCGTCAAGGACTTGTTGGGACGAGACGCTGACGTTGGCGACGCTCGAAGTGGGCGACGCTGCTCGCGCCTTGAGTTGTCCCAGTTCCTGGTAAATGCTATCATTTTCCTTTGTTGAAATATCTGCCTCTGGCTTGCTGTAGACCAGTGAAAGCAAGGTCCGACAACGTGTCTCGAATTCGTCAACAGCAGAAAGCTTTTGTCGAAGACGGTCTTGCCATCGAGAGAGATTGAAATGGCGAAGAACGTCATCGTGGTTTGATTTTGTCAAAAGTGCCTCGATTTCATCGTGTGTGTAGATTTTTAATTGTTGTGGTCCCGGGTTGCCTTCGTCATCACTCTTTTCATCGTCTTCGCTGGTTTCGCCTTCCGTGTCTTCCATAGTAGCTTCCCTTTCTCCCAGGGCAACTTCCACTAGCTTTCTCCATGCCTGCAACGGTTCGACAATATTAGAGCTCAGGCTTTGCATCATTTTTCCAAAATGTTTGGTGTACCATCGATTGTCGTTGCTTTGTATCTGCTTGACAAAATTGGAAACAGCCTCGGCGGAAAGGAACTCGTCCTCTTCTGGATTGGGCGTGTCGCAGCCTCGTTCACTTTCTTTGATGTAATCCATGAGTGATTTGTTCCTTCTGCGGCGTTTGGTTTTCCTAGTGCCACCGGGACTGTTTTCCGCCGGCCTTCGTCGTTTAGATCCGGCCAGGGAAGTGTCCACTCGTAGCAATTGAGTGATAACTTTTCTACCTTCTTGAAGGCCCCGTTGGACTGCAAAATCTTCTCCCAGAAGAGTTGGTTGTTGTGTGGAATCATTCTGTGAATTGTCGTTGAAAAAGACGGTGTGGTGCAGTTTCCAGGAGGCAATATACCATTGACAAGCTTGCTCGAGATAAGTCAGGCACTGGAGCAGGTGCGTCACGTAGGCTTCGGAGGGCCCCTCATTGTCCTCCTCGCCAATGGGCGCCAATCTCGTTCGTAGGTACTGCTGAGATCTCAATAAATACGACAATCGCTTAATTTCTTCGAATTCTTGTATTTCTGGCAAGTCTCGAGCTTCTCCTGCTGCAGCTGGTGTGGTTGCATTGTCACCCGTATCGTGCTGCTGCTGGGCATTTTCCATGAGAGCGTGTTGGTTGTCGGTATTAATAGTGTCTTGCTCGATTTGGTTTTGCAAAATATCCAAATGCGGTGTATCCTGAAGTGTTCTGGTGTCAATTGGCAATGCGTTTTCCCAGTCCACGACGGATTTTATGGTTTTTGCCAATGCCTGGTTTCCCAGAATGGCTTTGGATCGTTTGATCCAAGCCCTGACACTGGGCCTCACTCTGCCAGGAACCAAGACCATGGAATAAATTGTGTCGTCTCCCACAAATCGCACTCGAAACGAGTAGTTGCCGTCTCGCAACTCTTCGATTTGATCAATGTGACCATCGTACCAATCTTCCACATCCTCCGATTCCTCTTCCTCTTCTTCATGCCCTTGTTGCTTTTCGCAACAACCATCGTCGGCCCAAAAAATCTCCCAATCGCGACCAACCAAGCTGTTGGCCCATTCCTCCAGCGTCACAACTGCAGCATCATTGGCACTACCGGTACTAGTAGTGGCATCGTTGCTTGTATTATCAGTACCATTATCTGCCATCTTGAAAAAATGAGGCATGAGTGCATGGTTGCAAGTAAGCTTAATGCTGTGATGGCGTAACGCTTCGAGCGCGCCAAAAAATTGAACAAATTGATTGAATTTACTGGATAAAAATCGGTTTAGCTTCTGTTTTGGACTATATTTATTTGAAATGGAGGCAAATAACTTTCGATGATGCGGATTTGAAATAAACTGTACGGTACTAAAAGACAATTACAAGAACACAAAAAGCGATTTAAGTGACAAAGCAAAGGCTGACGTCAGTGAGCAATCAACACAGGGTCAACCGCACGATCTTCGAAAAGCTGATTTCCAATCAATGAATCATTCCTCCAGTTGATGCCAACAATCCTTCTTTGGATCCTCTTTCCCCTCCACACCAAGAACTCTCTTTCTATTGCTATATTTGATATCCCAAAAGATCGAAAGATGATGAAGCTGCTCGTCCTGGTCCAACTTCTGGCGCTGGCTCAAGCCTTTCTGGTCACTCCACCAGCCGTGTTCCATGGTCGAATCAATAGTCCACTGTTTGCCGCCGAGAGCATCGAGTTAGTCGAAGAAGATGTCAAGGAACGCATGGCCAAATCGGTCGAATCCGTCAAGATGAATCTCTCCACGGTGCGAACGGGACGTGCCAATTCCGCCATGCTGGACCGAGTCAAAGTGGCCTATTACGGAGTCGATACACCACTCAATCAGTTGGCATCCATTTCCGTCTCGTCGGCACAGCAGCTCTCGGTAGATCCCTACGATAAAAGTCAAATGGGGGAAGTGGAAAAGGCTATTATCGAGGCAGATCTCGGATTGACACCTACCAACGACGGGAACATGATTCGAGTCAATATCCCTTCCTTGACCGAAGATCGTCGCAAGGACATGCTGAAACAGTGCAAAGCCATTGGAGAAGAAGGAAAAGTGGCTGTGCGCAATATTCGAAGAGATGGAGTCGATAATATCAAAAAACAGGAAAAAGCTGGAGATGTCGGAGAAGATGAAATGAAAGATGGACTCGATGCCATGCAAAAGATTACCGATGCTCATATCAAAGATATCGATGAAATTGTCTCGGCCAAGGAAAAGGAAGTGGCTACAGTATAACGGATTGATTTTCATTTTCACGCAAGCAGGTTTCAGGTGCTGTGGGAATGCGTCATTTCCACAATCTAAATACCGTGTTGTCGGTATGGTTGCTGTTGACAGGAACCGCCAAGAATGCACACTTGAGACTTGAGAAGAAACCACCACCACATTAGCTAAAGTATAACAAGAAAAGTACCAAAAAGAATCTTTGCCCCTGCTTTTGAGCTTTGTTCGCTTTGAAGTATCTCTGAATCCAATTGGCCCTGGAAGGGCTGGAAGTCTCCACTTGACTCCTCACCACGTACCATGGTACCATACCCGTATCGGTACCGACCCCCAGGTAGCTGCTCTCACTTTTTGAAAATGAGTCTGTTCACCTCTTCTTCTTAGGACTACCCACAGCTGTCTAGCACCAGGTAGCCTAGTAGATGACCGATGCTGCCAACTGAGGGAACGTGTACTTGTACTAGAACATTGTGGCCTACCAGTATCGACCATGCATAAAAGGGGCAAAGCAAAGTCAACCACAAAGACCTGATTTGCTCGTTTGCGAATCCAGCTTCACCTGGGAGTTCGTTGGACTCGACTCGACTCAGCTCGCCTTATGCTTGGCCACAGTGGCCTCGCTTCTGGCAGCTTGGCTTCTACTAGCTAGCTCCGTAAAGCCTCCCTTTCTTTCAGCCTTCTAAAGGTGCATTGTTATACATCTAATATCTTTCCTCCAGCTACCGGTAGCTGCTCAGAGCTAGAGTACAGTACACGTACTGGCCGAAGCTCAAATCACACTCGATTCCACCCAGCCGAAGCTCAAAGGACACCGAATCGAAGCTCACAACTCGAAGCTCACACTCCAAAGGACACCCAAAGGACGCCCCACCATGGGATCCCTCGCACGGGTGTCTAGCTAGCTAGCCCGGGTGGAGGAGGAGGAGACAAAGGGCTACAAGTCAATTGAAATGATACCACTTATTCTTATGGCTCTGCCACAGAAAGAAAAAACAGCAACGAGCACGGAAGCATGCAACTAGCAAGTCCCTTTCCCGCCAATTGGTTTGTTCGGGCAAGGGGTTTGCCTTACCCCACCCAGCAGCATGGAATCTCGAGCCACTAGACCTTCGCCTTCTTGGACGCCGGTGAACCGCCTGTAGGCTGCTGGGGTCGCTTCTTCCCACTTTCTGTTTTGGCGTCGCCACCGTCGTCCTCGCCACCGTCAACCTCCATAACCATATGGGTTTTCAAATAATTCATCTGTTCTTCAACTTTTGAATTGTCAGAACGGTCGCTAGGGGGTACCGTTTGAAGGGAGCCTAGGTCTGCAAGAAAGACTTTCTCGTCATTCCCATCACCAAGGAACAAGATATGGCGCCAGCGCAAATCGCTCTCTTTGTAGACATATCCAGCCTTGAGGAAACGCTTCAACTGCTCTTCGATGGCGCCGAGACAGGCTGCTCGCTTGTTCATTGGAATCCGAGTTCCGTATGGCACCAGCAAACTTGGGAGACCTCTCAGCATAATCGCACGCCCCGTCTGCATCGCTCTCCCAATGGAATCCTTACAACCCTTCCCGTACAGATTCTTCCACCTACTCAACTCCTCGTTACGGTTCTCCTTGCACTTCGCAATCAATTTCTCATCGTCCTTGCTCGTTCATCTGGGGTTGCCGCTCCGATGGCTTGAATCGGTAAAACTTGACTGCCGCACGGGCCCCGTTCAAGGAAACAGCCAATGAGACGTCTCCAGTTCCTCCGGAGCCAATTGTGTCCAGCAAGAAAAAATTCTTGGTGTTCGGATGGGGAAACTCATTTTTCACCTTGAGCTTATCGTCTGTCATCGCAAACCGCAGACCTGCTCCGTAGCGTAAGCGAACAGTCGGCAACTTAAGTCTTCATTTTCCTTTGCCTCGGTTACTGTGTTGGCTGTCGCACCGATGCCTGCCTCGATTTTCGCAGTCATTAAGCCAAGTAACAACATCCGAAAGACGTTGCCCTCCTCTGCCGTGACGCTACCATACAAGAACGCCTTGAAGATTTTCACTCCATCCTTGGCATCGGGCTCAAACGATGTGGCAGGTTGTTTTTTGTCAAACCTTAAGCTTTTCTCGGATGCCCTTTTCCTCTCTGGGTCGGGGCTGTGCTGCTGCTCGTCTTTCGTCGGTTGCTGTTCTGGTTCCAAGGTGTTGCCACAGTTTCTTTCAGCATGCCCAAGGCTTCTTCGAAACGATGATGGTCCATCGGTTTCAAAGACACAAGTCGAATCTTGTTGAAGGTGCAATGGCCCAAAGGCCTTCCACTCCAGATTGTTTTGCCATCAAATACAACCATATTGCCAGCCACCCACTGACCCTCGAAAACATCACTACCACCATCTATCACCTGTTTCGCCTTGTTCTTCGGGGTTTCGCCTGTCGCTTCCGGGACCGCACCTCGACGCTTGGAGATTTCACCTCAATGACAAAAATGATCTTTCGTCGATGGAAGACAAGGATAATGTCAGGAGTGACGCCGTAGAATGAAATCTCCAGATTGGTCTGGAGCTTGTTGGTGCAGCCCATGCACGCAATGGCATCCATCACCAGCCGTTCCACATAGGTCTGAATTTTGATTTCGTTTTCATAATTCAAAGGGTAGAGATTTGGCTTGAACTCGCTGAAAATGCGAACAGGATCTTGATCATCGTTGCCTTCCACTTTGGTTCTAATGGGAATTACCACTTGGTCCAACTGTTTCCAAATTTCAGCGCTGGTCGATGCTTCTTTCTTGTAGATTGCTTTCTGGGGCTCCATGCCTTTCAAGTAATGTCCTTTGATGCTCGGCGCAACATTACTGTTCAGTTTCAGTGGTGGTAGGGTCCTTCCTCCTTGATAGATGTTCTCAATGGAGCTAGCCACAGCGGGTGCGTTTTCATACTTTTCCTTAGCCAGCCCATCTCTCTCCTTAGCCACTCATCTCTCTCCTTAGCCACCTCATCTCTCTCCTTTTGTAAATCTTCAGCACTTCGTTTCATCTTCTTCTCTGTTCGAGAAACAGTTCGCCATGAGCGAACAAAGCGCCAGAGCTCAATTCGTCTTCGAGCGTTTTCGAGTCGAGACTGCAGCGTGTCTTCGTCCGATGGTTTGTTTTGGCTTCGTACGGTAATAAGCTTGGTACGCGTACTGTCGTTGTCCCAACTTGGGTTGCAGCAAGAGTTCTGAACTTGGGTTGCAGCAAGAGTTCTGTTAATAGCTGGCTTCCGAAGTGTGCTATTTTATAAGGGGACCTAACCACAGATCTCCAGAGTCTCTCGACTTTCGCTGGCGAAGAAGAAGCGTGAGGATGCAGGATGTAGTCTAGTCCTTGACCAAAGCGCAAAGCGCTAGCTAGCCGTAAGGTACCGGTACCGGTATTTGAGACTAGAGCCCAACCGGTTTCATCCCACAGCCTGCAATAATAATGCACCACTCTCACGATTCACTGGACTCCTCTTTCGTGCGGTGCCGGTTGGACAAGCAAGGACACTCGATATTCGATCGACGTCGACAAAGACCTTCATATCTTAATACTGTACGGTAGCAACAAGCCAACATATATCCAGCCCTGCCCTGCCATGAGCACTACAACGGCGCAACGACGAAAGGGAGTTCCCAAGGCGCCTGGTTCCGCCCAGGTTGATTTAGACGCATTATCTCCTGCTCCAGCCAACAACGGCGGACCGGTGGTTGCGGTGGCAACGGTCCGCCGACGAAAGTTTGGGACATCGCCCTTTGACGAGAGCTGGCTGAATGTCGATTGCTGTGGGTTGGTTTGTGCCTTGGTGACGTACTCTCTCCATTTTTATGCAGTGTACACAATATGCTTTGTCATGATTCCGCCTTGGATGAGTGTGACGGACGAAAACAAGATTCGAACCATAACAGCGACGGGAAGATTCCACCAATTTGCCTTTACGGCGGTTGCCTTGATGGCCTGTCTGTCCCATTTCTATGCCATGACTACCAACCCAGGAGCCGTCCCTCCAGATGCCAAACCCGTCCTCTCTCCGGAAGAATCCAACAATGCCACAAATGGAAGTGGTGAAGAAGAAAAGAAACTCATCAGCACACAAAAGAAGGGAATGAGACTCTGTAGACGATGCAATGCCTTCAAACCACGACGAGCCCATCATTGCAGGTCCGTTCGTTACGCGAGAAAAATCAAACCAACCAATCAAACATGGACTTTTAATGTTTCTGACAATTCACTGTTTCCTTCTTTCTCTATTATCATGCAGTGTCTGTCGAAGATGCATTATCAAAATGGACCGTAAGTGATATATATGACCCCACCAATGTCAAAACCATTGTTTTTTTGTTTGGATGGCTTACTCAATTTTGATTCTTCAATACTATTTTCAAAATATTGCTTCTTTCCTCAGATCACTGTAAGTCATTCGGTTTTTTCTGTTTTGTGGTTGCCTGGTCATTCATTTTGTAATTTTCTTTTGGTATCTTTTTGTTTCTTGTTTGTTTTGTTTGGATAAAAAAGGCCCCTGGGTCAACAACTGCGTCGGCATTGGAAACCACAAATACTTCTTGTTGTTTGTATTCTACACTTTCCTATCGTGTGCCTACACAATAACCATGTTGATATCTTGGTTCGTCATTTGCATGCGACACAATCCCAGTGGACACAGCCGACACGCGAGACATGGAATTGCCTGCTTGGACAGCCCAACACAACTGCTGAATCTACTTGGTCTCGTCGTGGAAGCAGTCCTCTTTGGAATGTTCACATCCTGCATGATGGTCGACCAGTCCGATGTAATATCTTCCAAAATGACCCACATTGATCGATTGAAAGGCGGCGGAGATGTCGGTGTCCCATCCCTCGGAGGCGTGGCCGAAGTATTTGGAGTGGGTCCCAGAGGTGGTGGACATGGCGGCAATTCATCTCGCTTCCGATTCGATTGGTTTTCACCATTCGCCAAAGTCATATTCCCACCCAATGTTAGAGACGATATCATGGGATTCTGCAGGCCGTGTTCCAAGGTCTGCTCGACGGACAAAGAAACAGAATTGGCACCACAACGGGGAATGGTTCGAAGTGTCGCCGAAATTGTTTAGAAATGGTGAATTCTACTACTACAGTACTAGTAGAATAAGCAACTGCACAGCAAGGAAATCATCCATTCGTAGTTTAGCCAACACTACATGAAAAGCCTACAGTTGCGTCCGAACAACCTTCAATAGCAAAGGCATATCCTTCTTTTCAATCATGAGCATGTCACTCTGCCTCTGGCCGCCTCCCATAATGTTGGCACCGAAACCAGTACCAATGTACTTCTCCAGAATGTGGTGGATCTTTTCCATGCTGATAAAGGGGTACCTCTTGTTCCTCGCTGAAGCGTTCTCCGGCATGAGCAACACGGGTAGGTCACGGTCAAGCATGGCGGATGTGAGATTCCGGATTTCGTCAAAACAATCGCGGAGGCCTTGAACTCCCGTGCCATCTGCGAATCGGATGAATTCCGCCACATCAATCGAAAGGTTCTTGATACCAAACGCGTCGATCTTGCTGATTGGGGGAATGTTGCCCGCTCCAGCTGATGTCTCGTTGCCTCGGCCAGTCAAAAGTTTGACCAATCGTTCCGCCAGGTGGCCACAACACGAAAAGTGCAAACCATTTCTGGATCCTTCATCCATGGACCCAAGGTTTCCAAAAACTTCGCCTAGATAGTCGACGATGGCCGTCACATAGCTGTTTACACAAACACACAACATTGCAGAAAAAAGGTAGGTGCGTGAGAGAGGGTCGAAACCACTTGTAAATAAAGAAAAAGAAGCAACTGAACGTACGCATTGGGCATGTCACGCTCTGTCTTGGCTACCCAGTTGTAATTTCCAAGACCGAGATTGATGTGCGAGTCTAACTTCTTGCGGCAGACGTCGTAGACCAAACTGTACATGCTGCCCACCTGAGCATCACAAGCCTTGTTGGCACCTTTCAGCGTCTTCTCAGCATAGGCGAATGTGTCGTCAACTTCATGCGAACGGATCAACCCAACGTGGCACATGCCTCGCATCAGTGTGCCAAACAGACGTGGAAGACAATTTTGGAGAGCAAGTAGATTGGCCATGACTTGAACCGCTTTGTTGATGTTGGCTTCTTCAACGACATTGTCACTGTCTTTCATGGCCACAGCAGCCACGTTGATACACTCTTCGACACAATCCAAAACATATCCAGCAGTGGCATTGCCCTTTTTCTTTTCTGGAAAGACTTGGCCTAGTTCTTCTTGGTTAAGGGCAAAAGCTGCGCAGGCAATGGCTCGCGCATGGATGGATCGGACAACAACAGGAACGGATGCAGAGAAGCTGTGACTTTCATTGCCCTGACCGAAACCTAGACCTCCTGATGATGGTTTCTCCATCTTCATTTTCACCAATCCGAAAGGCAACCCGACCTCTTCAGGTTCCGGGATTGTTTCATAGGAACCGCTGTCTCGATGTGTTGACCTGGATTCAACCAGCATTGGGCTTTTATTGTCGTCGCCCATGATTGCAGATGCGGCCTTCAACATTTCTTCTTGCGCTACCTTGAGAGCGATCATGAGAATATCTTTGTCCATGGCTAGCAGCTCTCTGTCGCTACGACGGGTCGTCGACGATGGGTGAACGGTTCGGAGAGCTGACCGGAAAGCAGCCATGAGGCTAGACGCTCGAACGAGCTCTGGAAGACTAGCACCCTTGGCTCTGCCACGAAGCAGAGTTCCAAGTTCGGTGACGAGAGCACGTTCGTACCGTTCTGAAGACTGACGGAAGCGACTTGCACTGAGGGCAACTGTTGGCTTTACCGTTGGCTTAGTGGAGTCGGCCTGTTTGCCTTTGTCTTCTTCGTCGTCATCAGGAAACGTTCCAAGCTCCAGAGCAGCTTCCACAGCGCTGAAGCCAACGACGCTCGAGCAGAGATGTGGAAGTCGCTGGGCAAAGAAGATCCTGTCCGTACCGACGCTGACATCGTCGCCCGTCAAGGACGACAAGTACGATGTTTTGCCGCCCTTTTCTTCGCCTTCTTTTGAGCTTCCAATTTTGGTGTCGCCAAATCGATTCTGTTCGTAGTATTGGACGAACTCCTCAGCTTTTCCGAGGAGGCTGAATGCTTGCTCCGCCCTGCGTACAGGGTGGACAGATTCTGAGAGGCCCACTAACTTGGCGTCATCTTCCTTCTTTGTGGCGGAGTCTTCAAAAAGAACGGACGGAGTCAGCAAGGCAGACCAGCGACTGTTGTCAACGACTCCTGATGCACCCAGGCTCAGCTCCCGAAAAGAAGCCTTTGCTCCAGCCGACGCCCTGAATCCGAGTGTTCTCTGCCCTCGTTGAGAGCCTCCGTGGCGGCTTCCCGATAGATTGTTTCTGCCACTCATGTCATCAAGCAAGAATTCGCTTGGATCGACAAGCAATGACGCGGCCGCTGACCAGCACCGGTGCCAACCAAATGCGGCAGCAAATGCTTCGGCTCGTCTCTCCATTCCCTCTTTAGTTGCCTCGAGCAATTCCGCCTCTTTTGGGCCATCTCGCTCAAACCAGTAGGCCACCCGTACAGCACGGGCAACGCTTCCACTTTGATCCACCCTAGAAATCAAGTTGTCGGCTGTTTTGGCACGCCATTCGTAGGAAGGAGGGACGAGACCCCCTAGACCGAGAGAGCCTGGTCCCATTGCCATGGAATGAGCACATTTTCGAAGGACTGCTTTTCCAGCTTTGGCTCCATCACCGCCGCTACGCAATGCCAAGAACCATCCGTTCAATCCGCGTCTGGCGTTCATGAGAACCTGATTTTCAATTTTTGGCAGAATAGCTATAGCTCTGCGACCGAAAGGAGTATCTTCCAGGCTGGAAATTCTCTTCTTTGGTTCTTCTTGTTTTTCGTCTTCTTTTGACTTTTGGACATCATTCCAAATGCCATCATAGAATTGATCCGAGAACAAGGATGACATTGGAGTGGTGAGGGCTGTGCGTGCTTCATCTACAGCATCCAGAGCAGCCCTTGGTCGTCCAAGGGAAGCCTGTTTTTTGGCTCGTTCAATCCACTGAGCAACTTGTTGGCAAGCCGTAACCATGACATGCAGTGTTTTGGCTCTGGCATGAGCTTGGCGTGCTTCTTCCCACAAGAGAGCCGCATCGTGCATGGGTCCTGCCGTGTTATCTTCGAGCTCTCGTTGGCCCTCTTGAAGTCCATTGGCTAAATCAGCGGAAGGACCTCCCAATGCTGCTACCTTGGCCACAGAAGCCAAGAAAACCTCCGAGTGATCGTGGCAGATTTGACTGATACGGCTTGCATTATCTTTTTGCTCTTGGACCAAATCAGCGTGAAGATCTCGATCCAATCCCTTCTCAATGGCCGTGGCAACAGCACTGGCTACCATCCATTCATGAGCTTCTGGGTGAGCCGTACTGCCGTCGCTGCCGTCTCCCTTCTTGTCAGGACGAGACTGAACATCTGCCACCAAACGCCTCACAGCCTCTTCGCGACGTCTTCTGGCACGGGCTGTCAACGTTGGGGCTGTCGTTGATCGGACCTTGGCTCCGCCTGCAGTAGTACTCGCAGGAGTGTTGGGGGCATTGCTGCTGCTGCCACCAGCCTCAGGAGTGGCGGCTTCGCTCATTTTTTACAATGATGATAACTTCACGGCCTTTTCAACTAACACCACTGGATTAATGAGTTGACATGAAGCAAGTGGGCAAACACCTTGTCTATGATAGTAGCACGATCCAACGAGATGTCGGTCAACATAAAACTGAGACGAGCTTCTGAAAGATCGAAAGCCGTTGGGCACAGTAATTCAGCAGAGCGGAAGGAAACCGACCCAGCCTACCTTAACTGCCCTTGGAACCAATGGGATCGTGAGCATGGTGCCCGTAAGGAGTGACCAGCTTCGTAGAGCTCTTCGTAGGGTGTTGTACATTATGGAAAGAGCATTGTGGCCAAGGCATTAGATATGATAAATATTTACTGTTTAAAGACAAGGCCTGTTTGGATTCGATCCATCAAAGGTTGTTGTGTGCTTCAGGAGTGAGCCTTCATTTGCCGTACACTGTAGAGAGAAAAGGAATAGATAGAGACTCTGGAAGACTATTCTATGGCAAGCTACCGTAGCCAGACAAGTGAAATGCATTATTTGCCTTCTATCATCTACATCGGCTGTCAAGCTGCAGGGTTACCGGTAGGTGGTCCGCGGCCTTGCTAGGTGAAGGCTCATCTGACAGCTACCGGTAGTCATAGCTATGCATACCGGTAGGGTGAGGGACCAAGTTTGATGGATGGAGTTTGCGAGAAGTCCCAGGTGGGGAGGTTGCATTGCTGTACCGTTTTACCGGTACCGGTACAGCGAGCACAAAGCAGGGAAACATTGCATGCACAGTATTTTAAAATACCTGTACCGGTACATTTTTAAAAACATGTACCGCGATCAGATTACTAAAGGGAACTTGGTTCATTTCGTTCGTGCTTCCGATCTGTCTCTCTAAATACTGTTTTCGATAGGTCTTTCTCAATCTGAAAATCAGGGACCGCACCGGTACAATAATATAAGGTACAACCATACAGGCGTACCGGTACACTGTACGGTACGTGTACGGCTACTGCTCATGGTCGTCTCAACAGGAATTTCAGCAAGTCAATATCGACATCAACGGCGGCCTCTGCAGCGGCGTCCATTATTATTTCTTGCCTCAGCCCATGAAGAAGGAAAAGCATTTTTATGAATGTCTCTTCTGCCGAGTCCATTGGGCTGGTGCCTCGTCCGGTAGCTTGTGAACTATGCTACCACCAAGGTTCCTGTGCATTCAAACGCGCAAACTTTGCGTTTGGTGCGGGTATTGCCTTTGGGCTTTGAGCCAATGGATGCCAATGATTTTTTCCGGATGTGCGCCGTGGTCTTGATGAAGGAAGGTCGGTTGGAGACTAAGCCAGAGCAATCCTCCCAGCCAGCTGGCCCTGATGTTGCGATTTGCTCTCCGGTTCACCCCGGCCAAGTCAATGATGGAGCTGCTATGATGGCTAGTATGGACAGTTCATTGAGAAAGGTAGGGGGGGAATGTCTTCCTTCAAATTTTTGGGAGAGGTGCCAATTCGTGTTGTGGGCTTGCTACACACTGATTGTAGTCCTCAGATACAACTAGCTAGTAGCCATGCACATCTTATTAATTACTATGAACAATCATTTTAGCTAGTCAGCGCATCGTTGCGTCTGCTCCGGCGACATCTTGATTCCGGGGAGGAAGCAAACTTCACCGCTAGGAGCGGAGGCCGATACCCGAAGTTCATCGACGGCAATGACATCCTTCTCCTTCACTAGCGCTGTCTCAGCTTCTGCTGGTGGGTAAATCTGCCAAAATTTATCCTTGGATTCTTCCCAAGAGTTGAGGAGCTCTTCTGCCCGTTCGCTTCCAGTGAGCTCGTAATGGCGCTCGATCATGTGTTTCAACTGGGCTTCTCCTTCGGAAGTAGCCAGTCGTTGCATCTGAACAATTTCTCCATTAACCTTCTCGGGGAAAGAGCCGTCGGCATCGTAAAAGTATCCAAGACCACCTGTCATTCCGGCTCCAACGTTTCGACCAACGCTTCCCAGGATAACCACAACACCTCCAGTCATGTACTCGCAGCAATGATCACCAGCCCCTTCAGCAACGGCGAAAGCGCCACTGTTTCGAACACCAAATCGCTCACCTGCTCGTCCATTCGCATGGAAATCACCGCCAGTTGCACCATACAGGCAAGCATTGCCAACAATACTCGAGTCTGCCGAAACAAAGCTTGCATCATTGTCGGGAACGACAACAATCTCACCACCATGCATTCCCTTGCCGACATAGTCATTGGCTTCACCGCTCAATCGGACAGACAAACCAGGGAGCACAAAAGCTCCGAACGACTGCCCTGCACTTCCTTCAAGTTGAAGCGTAATCTTTCCTTCGAAACCAATGTTTCCGTGTGCACGAGCAATGTCACCGGCGATCATGGCACCGACACTCCTATCTGTGTTCTTGATCTTCAGGCTCACGGCGGCTTCGCCAGCGTTCTCTGCAATCACCTTTTGAACATCTTCGTTTGCGCAGATCTCGCGGTCCAAGTCAGAACTAAATCCGTTGATGTGTACGATTTCTTCCTTCGGTACCTTCTGCCCCGTCTCCATGGTTGCCCTCAGGAAGTCGCGATTTTCAGCTGTGTCTGGCACTCCACTGAAAAACTGATCCAGATTTACGCTCTTCGTCTTTGCCACCCGGTCACTTTGTTCCTGACTGGCTTTGAGGAGATCTGCTCTTCCGATCAGATCTTCGAATTTGGAATATCCCAAGTGTGCCATCAGCTCTCTCACTTCCTCAGCGACGAACTGGAAGAAGTTAACAACGTGTTCAGGGGTGCCCGGAAACTTCTTTCGAAGCTCCTCTTTCTGACTCGTCACTCCGACCGGGCAGGTGTTCAAGTGGCAAACACGGGCCATCACACAACCCTCGGCGATCATTGCAATTGTGCCAAAACCATATTCTTCTGCTCCCATCATGGCTGCAACGGCGACATCCCTTCCAGTGCGGATTCCTCCGTCAACACGGATCACAACTCGATCACGAAGGTTGTTGTTGAGCAGTGCTGAATGGGCTTCGGCGAGACCAAGTTCCCAAGGACATCCAGCGTGCTTGATGGAAGAGAGTGGTGAAGCCCCTGTTCCACCGTCGTTACCAGAAATTTGAATCACATCAGCCTGTGCCTTCGCAACTCCACAAGCGACCGTTCCAATTCCAATCGACGAAACAAGTTTCACAGACACACCCGCCTTTTCATTCACAGCGTGAAGGTCGTGGATCAACTGCGCCAAATCCTGTTTGCCGTGGCAGTGGGAAATATCTTAACGGTGAGACCGACTCGATTCGATATGCTACGTTGACATACGTCCATGCTTACCTCAATACTGTAAATGTCGTGGTGAGGTGGAGGGGAGATGAGTGTTACACCAGGTTTGCTTGCACGCAGTGTTGCGATGTAGTCGGAGACTTTCGTTCCTGGCAGCTGGCCACCTTCTCCTGGTTTGGCTCCTTGAGCCATCTTAATCTCCAGTTGTTTCGCAGTGACCAAAAATTGTGGGGTGACACCAAATCGTCCAGAAGCAACTTGGTGGACAAATGAGTTGGCAGAATCTTCATTCTTGAGTCCTGCCAAGTGAGGAAATGTTTGGCTTCTCCCCTTTTCGTCGACATCGCGGATTGGCTTGGTGCGAACAATATCCTCTCCACCCTCTCCAGAGTTAGATTTTCCGCCAATACGGTTGACAGCAATTGCAAGAGTTTCATGAGCTTCCCGACTGAGAGCTCCCAGAGACATTGCACCAGTGCAGAACCTTCTCATGATCTCTGAGGTTGTTTCTACTTCCTCAATAGGAATACTCTCACGATCAGAGTCGAAATCAAGCAAGTCGCGAATAGCAGCAAGTGGCGCGGTCTCGAGGCTGGCCTTGAAAATTTCATAGTTTGCAACACTTGCTGGCTTCACTCCATCGTTTTCGAGCTCATCGCGATTGGTAGCAGCACTGACTTTCTTGTCAAGACCAATGGCATTGTGCAGCAGCCTAGCAAGATCGGCCGAGTTGGCATGGTACTCTCCCAAAGCTGGAACGGGTTTATAGAAACCATAGTTGGCAAGCTTCATTTTTTCCTTGGCAGCTTCAGGTCGCATCATCACAGTTTCCGAGGCGATGTCTTCCAGCGACATTCCGCCAATGCGGCTGGTTGTACCCTTGAAGCATCGATTGACCGCGTCTTCCCCAATACCCAATGCCTCAAAGATCTGTGCTCCGGAATATGATGTCAGCAAAGAGATTCCCATCTTGGACAAGATTTTCAATAGCCCATTCTCCACTGCTGTCCGGTAGTTTTCCTGTGCTTCTGCCGCTGTTGTCTTTTGGAGCTTGCCTGCTGCCATCATCTTTTGGGTCCTCTCGATACCGTGCCACGACTTGACTGTCTCCAGAGCCATGTATGGGTGCACGGCGTTGGCACCATAACCAACGAGACAAGCAAAATGGTGAGTCGACCATGCCGATCCAGTCTCTGCGATAAGCCCAACATCCATCCTGAGACCATCCTCAATTAGTCGGTGGTGAACAGCGCCGACAGCCAGAAGAGGTGGGATGTATGTTGTCTCTTCCAAGGCGGCTAGGTCATCAGCCATATCACTCAAAATCAGCACCTCTGCGCCGTTCCTTACTTGTTCGGCGGCCTCGTCGCAGAGCGCATCGAGGGCTGCAACAATTCCAGAAGGGCCATCTGACAGGGCGTAGCGAGTAGATAGTTTTTTCTGTTCAAAGCCTCCATTTTTCGCCTTGGCCAGCTCCTCGATCTGGTCCATCTCGGCTTGATTCAGAACAGGAGACTCCAAGTGAATGAGACGAGCTCCCCTCTCTGAGACCTTGTAGATGCTTTCCTTTTTACCCAGAGTCATTCCAAGCGACATGACAAGTCCTTCCCTCAGGGGGTCGATTGGGGGATTTGTAACTTGGGCAAAACGTTGCTTGAAATAGTTGTAGAGTGGGTGTGGTCGTTCCGACAACACTGACAGTGGAGCATCGTCTCCCATGGAATAAGTGGTTTCCTTTGCTGCGCCAGCCATGTCAGCAATCTGCATTCCAATATCCTCAAGACTCCAACCGAACGTGGACTGAGCGTATGTAGTTGTTTTGTCGTCGTACAAACGTTCAGCTGGGAACTCTGTCTTCTTGACATCCTTCCTCTTCTTTTCGAGCCATTCGCCGTAAGGATGACCTGCAGGATTTCCAACGCAAATGCAATAGGGCAACACGTTAGTTTGAAAGGAAATTCAAGGGAGGCTCAGCAACCTTTTCTTCACTTACGAGAAGCAATTTCACTCTTGATCTTGATGTTGTCCTTGAACTCTCCTGTCTTGAGGTCCACATTGATCATCTGACCAGGACCAAGACGTCCCTTCTCCACAATTTCTGATTCTGGCAGACCGGGAATAACTCCAGTCTCACTCATCATGTACACAGAACCGTCTTTGGCAATGGAGTAACGGGCCGGTCGAAGTCCATTTCGGTCCAGAGAGGCTCCGATAGACTTTCCGTCCGAGAACACCAAGAGAGCAGGTCCATCCCAAGCTTCCAACAGACCTCCGTGGAACTTGTAAAAGTCTACGATTTCTGGGTTGTTCTTCAAATCTGGGTTGTTTTCATAGGCTGTAGGAACCATGGCCATCAATGCACATGGAGCTCGATGACGAGATTTGGTCATGAGTTCAAAGACCGAGTCCAAGTTGGCGGAGTCTGAACGATCGAGGTCGACGACAGGTTCCAGTAGGGAAGGAATGTCTTGCGTATTGCACATTGTCACAATGTTTTCCGTCGAATCGTAGTCCACAAAATCGCGGATGGAGGACTCAGGATCCATTTTGGTACCTGTTGGGATACCTCCTTTGGATGCCTCGCGAGCCTTGATCCAGTTGACATTTCCCAAAAGAGTATTGATTTCTCCATTGTGACCCACCACTCGCATAGGTTGAGCTAGGGGCCACCGAGGGTTTGTGTTTGTGGAGAAACGTCTGTGGTAAATGACAAACTTGGTGGTGAAATCTTCATTGGTGAGATCCTTGTAAAATTGTGGGAGAACCGCTGACTGAACCATTCCTTTGTACACAATGGTCTGTGAGCTCAGGGAAGCCACATAAACCTCGCCATCATCGTCATCCCAGACAAGACCGAGTCTCTTTCGTTCGACCTCAAAACGACGGCGAACCAGATAAAGTGTTCGTTCGAAACCGTCCCGTTCGTCGTCGTCATTCTTGAGTCGTTGGGGTCCTTTGACAAAGAATTGCCAAATGCTAGGCATCGCATCCCGTGCCATGGGCCCAAGAGAATTGGGGTTGACAGGTACTTCTCGCCAGCCCAGAAAGCCTAGCTCATTGGCTTTGCAGACATTTTCAATCATGGTTTTCACGGCATTGCGACGTTCTTCGTTCTTTGGCAGGAAAATCATTCCAACACCTGGTTGGGGGCAATTATCTGATCTAAATTCACTGAACAGTTTCCAAGGGATCTGTGTCATGATTCCGGCACCATCTCCAGATTCCCCGTCTCCACCACAAGCACCACGATGTTCCATACAAGAAAGAGCTGAAAGTCCTTGTTGGAGCACTTTGTGTGTGCCAAATTCCTCTGTGGAAGAAAAAGAAAAAGTTGGGCAACTGTTTAGTGAGAAAGTTGATTGATTGATTGATCCAAGTAAATGGATGATGGTCCTGATGCCAACTAGAGCAACAGTAACTGAATAGTGCCATGCTGGTCCTTCGTACCTCCACTCTTTGTGTTTGCAATGAAACCAACACCACATGCATCACGCTCTCGGGTCAAAGCCAAAGGGCCATCGAACATGTTGGTGGCTTGCTCTGTCTGAAAGGCCATGTCAAGCCGTGTCCCTGAATGAGCATTATCCTCATATGTATCCCTCAGAGTTGGCGTCAAAAGAGCATTGCGAGACGTGGACGTAAAGGCTGCCACCATTGGCAGCACTGATGCCGAGAAAAGTAAAATCTTCATTTTCTTTTTGTTCCGTCGCACTGGCTGGCAATCAATTTTAAAGGGTATAATAGGGTAGGAATCGACTCTGCAAACAAATAATATCTGTGCAGAAGATTGTAGCCACAAGCTTTATCAGTCTATTGCTATTGCCAATTCAAGTGGATGAGAAACTAAAACTATGGAGGCAGTAAACTAAACTAAATGAATGAATGAATGAATGAATGATCAAGGAAGGTCCCTTCTGTATTTTCACTTGTGGTTCCTTTTCTTCCTCGGCTTTGCCTCTTTTCTGCATCCGTCACGGTTTTGACACCTTTGAAGATACGTGAGTCTTGGGGGACTGCGTGGGGACAATTGTGCGGTGCCGAGGCACCTCGAAACTTCCGGAAAGAACAAAAAGATGATGAGCTGGCCTTCCCAGACAAAACAACAGAACTTTTTCGGCCCGAATAGTCGGCACTTTCATGCACAAACAGCTGGCCTCTGGATCTACATACATGTACTACAGTAACCTTTGAGACCTGAGACAGATCCTCGACAAAGGCGAAACATGTAGCATCTTGTTATCTTGTTCTGCAGGTCTGGATAATACAATTACACTTGCATTTGTGGTTTCTTTTGGGTAACTATAAGTTCCACTGAAACCATGGATAGATAGATTGATTTGATGTGGATTTGAAAACTCCTGGTTCCCTGTTCCAACAATTAAGCGAGATCCTTCACACAATACAATTGCAGTTCTGCTTTGGAAGCAATGGGGCACTGGGGCTGATTGCAAGAAGCTGCCAATGGCGTTGAAGGGGAAACTTCTGGTGCCCTATTAGAGTTGGAACATCAGTCACAGCGGAAGCCTCAGGATACCGGTATCAGAACAAATAAAGTCGAGCGAGAATCAGCTGTCGGCACTGGGACGATCAAGACCAATGCGTGGAGAAATGACAAGTTGAGAGTTGTTAGTTATCAATTCTTCAAGATCCCTCTTATTATGCAAGAGTCCAACAATACTATGTGACAATCCATTTGAGCTGAGCTCTTGACGAGTGGACAAAATCCAAGCAAAACAGGAGACTGAATTGATCGTCATGTTTGGGTTTCAGGAAGTCTTCTGATCACAAGCAGCGTTAGGCTTTGTTGGTACATGTATTTGGAGATGATCAAGAATGGTATCCAGATTTTTCAGTTACCCTGCCAATCCAGTCAAGAACTTTTTAGCGCCACCAAGGTCTGCAAGAGTTGATTCGATTCCGAACATTTGCCCCCCGCGCCAACAATCTGCCTCTAGTAAGGATGCTCAGTATTTCCATGAGTTTTTTCATAAGCAATGTGGCAAATGTTGCATGAGAAGATCTGCACTGTTTTGGAGACCATCAAACCTGGCTGATAATCACTTCCTGTACTCGGAAATCGACAATTTGGATCACATCACATGCTGCCTTGTTTGACGATGATATAGAACAAAACCACCATTTGCCACAAAGGCTGGTGGCTGGATCTTGGGTGGGAAACGACTATGGAAGCAACGAGCTCAATAGCAGTACCGGTACCATACTAGTACCAAAGTTGAGAGACACTGAGGGATCAGGTGCTGAATTCACTGGCATGCTGGCATGTATGTAGGCAATATGTGAAACCAAGTAGCATACATATCTTCCACAATCCAATTGATCGAAGATTTGTATTTCCTAGTCCTCTCTGAAATTTACTTTAACTATACTCTCATAGATGATTGATTTGAAGTGGCCATTGCTGGTGCTATTCGTTCCATATTTGAATGGTGGCAATGATTCCAAGACCATACGAGCCATGTAGAAAATTTTACCCTGTGCGCACTAGCTCTGGAAACCAAGAACGAAAATGTCAAAAAGCAGGTAATGGAGCAGGCACAGTACCTGGTAGTCTAAATCAAAGGAGAAGCCAATGCCCACCTTTCCTTCCTTCAAGAGCTCTTCAAGTAAGATTTCCCTCTACCAATGGGCTAGACAACTTTTACGGTACAGTACTAGTACCAGGTATTGGCCAATTCAATCCATGGCTTCCCTTGGATGCCTTCACAGCTCCCCCGTCTTGTTAAAATTAGAGCTCATTTCCTTCGTTTTGAACCCTTTTCAAAATAGTGCGTGCGCGCCAAAAATCTGGCCGTTGGATGTCTCTCCTCACGAAATCGATCAGAAAGAAACAAGAAAGCAATGACATGAAAAATAATTTTGGCCACAAGCATTGCGGCATCGTGTGAAGGAGTTCCGAGTCGAGTCTACTTCTAGCCAGCTTACCAGACCAAGTCACGACGACAAGACCAACTTCAGCAAACCATTTGGTTTGGACAGTTCGCCAGAATGGGAAACACCCACGCCTTTGAGCACCGTCTCCCTGCCATCTTTGCGGGTAGCTTTGCCAGCATCGCACTTGGACTTCTCTCAGTCTCTGGCGCCCACTGCCGGTTCCTGAAGATCCAAGCTAAAGACGGATATGCTCTGTCCCTTAGCGATGGAACGGTTCCACCTGGCGAGGCTTCCACTTACCTGGGTGTTATTTGTGTCAATCCGCTGTACGATGACATTCTAGAAGATGATGCGGTATTCACTCTGAGCCGAGTTTGTCTCTTTGTTGCATTGGCCATGGGGTCGTTCACTTGCGTGCTCTCTTGGGCACTCAGTAGCTTTGTAACCCCCACAGAAGCTAACTGGAAACTCTTGTCGGTAGTTGCGGCAGTTTCAACACTCCTTCAAATGCCAGTGTTTCTTCTCTTTGAAACCGATCCATGCACTCATTTTGTTGACGTCCAGGAATGTGTGCTTTCTTCTGGAGGATACTACCTCATTCTAAGTTCTGTATGCTGGGTGATTGTGGCACTAGTCACTCAGTTCATGGACCCACCTAGATGGGCAGATGAGCTGAATGCGTGGAAGACATCAGCCACCAACCACCAACGGACGGATGTGACTCCCCATCACGTTGTTTCCATTCAAGATGAGCACGGAACTGATGGAGATTCGCAAGCACCACTACTAAAGCCTCCTTCCAAAATAAGCTTCCTCAGCAGAGTCCAGAACACATGGACACACAACAAATCCAGAGAAGGGGAGCTGGCCGACCTTCCCTTTAATCATACTGATTCCTTGTCGGTGGATGAAGATCCCATCACAAAACTTCGAAGCTCCAACCTCCTTGAACCAACAACTGACATTACAGAACTCTCCTTGGTTGTGATTCCAATAGATAGAAGAACTCCCCCAATGACAGATGATGCTGATGCTGATGCTTTGTCTCATGCTGAGGATGGAGAGTTTCCAGTTCAGGTGACAGAGGAAAGATCTGTTTCTGTCTTCAAACCTCTCCCACCGCCGTCATTGGATGCAATCAGTGTAGACTCCTGCCAACAAGAACAACAGGATCTTCAAATGGTTGTTTGGGATGCATCTTTTGCCGAAGACCAGACAGAGACGCATATTGTACAAGGAATATACTCGGATTTGGAGAATCCTCCCGAACTTGTTGGTGAAACTAAGATGATCTTGGCAGACTCGTGTGCTATGATGAACCAGAACATTTCTATTTTTGATGAACCATGTTCGACACCAACCAAAGAAGAAAGAACAGAACCAACTTCAATTGCTGAAACGCAAATTGCATCCACAGAACCTTCAGAAAGTGTACATCAGTATTCCTCGGCGTCAAATGGGGAGAAGGACACTACAATTTTGCTAGAACATACGTCGCAACCCACAGAGCAGCGACGAAAACCAGGAAAGCTGAAGATGTCGTCCTCCAGATTTTTGAAAAAGCTATCCGAAACAGTGAAAAAGGGACCCAAGGTCGTTGGAAGATCGGGTAAAAATCAGAGGTATGCGCTGATCAGCGATGATGAGTCGGTGGCCTCCCTTTCCTTGTTTCCAACCGAAGTCATCATCTATGACAATGCTGAGATTCCAGGGATGCCGGGAACACCCAGCAAACAATCAGATTTCCCCAGCTTTGATCCCTCCTTCAGCAACACCGCACAGGCATGGGAGGACCCTCCAATCACCTACATGGAATCATTCGACGATTGCACAACAGAAGAAGAGGATGAGCCAAATCCAATCATCTCCCCGGACGTCTCCATGGATACAGGGGGTCCTTCCGATGAAGGGGACGACGACGAGTCATCAGACCCGTCAGACTGTGACGTGCCTCCCTACGAGGGGGTTATTCCCAAAAACGATTCGCAGCGGAATGCTAAAAGCTATTCCTCGCTTCGTTCCATTGTGTCGTCAACCTCTTTGTTGGAGACTATGATTGAAGAAGAAACGGATGATGATCTGAGAGAATTCTATTCGTCTCCCTATGGGCTAGTTCGATCACAGTCAGCTCCAGTCCCAAACCAATACGTCTCTGAAAACATTCAACAACGACCCTCTCAGCACATCTCCATGGACGGCCAGAACTCTGTCTCTACTATGGATTCGGCTGCTTTCATGCCTTCAACTTCTTACTCGGAAGAAGTTGAACACAGTTGTCTTGACGACGTGCAGTTGGCTCCTGTGATGTCTTTTCACGCCAATATGGAGAGCAATAAACACAACTATGAGGAAGCCTCATGGGCACAGCATGTTAGTGTTTATGATTCCTTGGTGGCCAACATCGAGAACAATCAACGCAACTATGAGGAAGCCTCATGGGCACAGCATGTTAGTGTTTATGATTCCTTGGCGATCACCGACCTGGAAGACTTGGAGAATCTGCTTGCAACAGATCATTCTCAAATTGCTGGGAATGACGAGGAAAGATCTGGAGCGTCGTCCCCAGGGGACGAAGCTAGGGCTCAAACAGCTTCTGAAATAGAATCGCCGGAGTATACTGCCTTGCCAATTACAAAGCCCCCTGATGTCCCTGTCCCAATCAGTCCAACCTCGACAGCTCCCGAAACGCCTTCGCCAGGAAGGGCGATACAGGAAGGCAATCCCAATCAACAAGATTTGTCTACTTCGTTTGAGAGCACCGACCTATCGTGGAAAGAAGATCGAGAACTAAGGGGCGGAATTCACGCAGTGCCCATTCCTGATTCACCCTGCAACATATCAGACAGGGTCACCAGAGCTCGCGAATCAAGAATCAGACGGCTGCAACAGGAAAATGCGAGCACCTCTCTAGCTTCTAGCAAGGTGGAAGTGGAAGATGATTGCCACGGGGTCTCGACCATGGCAAGCGTGGTCGACAAGTTGGACCTTGAACTAATCGAGGTCCTTCGACCGGATGGCTGTGAATATGGCCCAGATGAACGGTCTCTGTAATGCCAACAGCCTTGGTCTTGGAGCATGGTAGTTATTCATTGCTCCTCATTGACCTTCTACAAAAGTGTTAAATGATGTTTCAGTTATAAGTAGACTTAGTATTCGCTACGGTGTCGTCTGCCCGTTATTAGTCAGAACAAAGTGTCTAAATCTCGTCTCTCCATAAGGCGAAGTGCATAGATGTACCATAGAACTCGTTGCCCACGAAAGGCAACTGGCGTGTAACTAGGACGGTACGGTGTGTTTGCTAATCCTCAGCTACCTGCGTTCGCCTTCTCGAGTTGAAACAAGTCCAGCACCTGCCGAAGATTGCCCGAGGAAACCAGCCAGTCTCTGAAAGATCGGTTCAGTTCTTCCTCGAAGCGTTCACGTTGTTCCTCAGTCAGATGTTTCTGCATTGCTTGTTGAATGTTGCGCATTCGGTCAGCCGTAACAAGGGCACGACGCTCGTATTCCGCTGGAAGGCGAAAAGGCGACAACTGAAGCACTTCAGCAAGCAAGCGCGAATACTGGCTCTCCCCTTGCCCGCTGCTTTCAGCCTCTTTGCCTTCCTCTGCCTTTGAATCGAGTCGACGTTGTCGTGCGGCTTCACTTTCCCAAGGCACGAACAGCACGTGGAACTCCGACGGTGGCAACAAAACAGGCTGCATCAAAGCTGCATCATTTCCTGTTCCCGGCTTGCCGCCAGAAACCGCTTTGTCGTCGGCACCAGGGGACGAATTGCTGGTGGGCGATCCAGGGGAGGATGCCGGGCTGCTAGCTCCAGCCATAGGAACATGAGGAAGCTCAAGCTTCGACAGTTCTATTGGTTGTTTCCACTTATTACTCGCGCAGTGCAAAGCTGGCCAAGTCCCGTCCGATTCCGTAGTTCTGCCGCCATGGAATGGAGACTGGTTTTCTTGCAACACCGAAGCTCCCAAACCAGTAGACAAGAGGTCTTCGCGAAAACCGTCGTAGTACGTGTTGTAGGGCGCCAGCTGACAGGTTCGATTGTCTCCCACCAAAAGGGGCGGGCTGGGGGTGAACACATTGAGGAGAACATCGGAGGAGTTGCTGATCAAAACGCGTCTCGCAGCAGAGGTGACCTTGGTTTTCTCGCAGTCCACCACATGCAGCATCCCCGCCACTGCTCCCACGACGATGGTGCAACCAGTGCAAGCTGCAATTGTGGCGTGTTCAAAGGGTTGAAGCAGGTAGATGTGTACATCAGAGCAGTCAGAAATGACAACATCATGGAGTCGTGTGTTGGACATGAAAGCGCTTGTCATATGTGGGTCTCCGGACGCGTCGGAAGCTCCAGAGGACGTGTCTTGATTATGTGGTTTGAGCAGCACAGTTGTTCCACGGAGCTGCATGTAGCGGAGCTCCTTTTGTTTTCCGTTGCCAGGCTGTTGACCTCTCTGGTGCATATCCTTTCCGGCCTTATCCGTGAGAGCTAAATTGGCCAGAGCGGAAGACGTAGCCTCTTCATCGTCCGCGGAAAGGTCTTCCTTGGAATCTTGATCGCCACTGGCCATGAGAAGTTCGAGCTCTAGATGACGTCGAATTTCACGCTCTGCATCACCCAGAGGGATGGAGGCAGTTGGAGGAACCGGTGAGCTGTAGAGACTTCCCCACAAGAACTCTCCAATTCGAAGCGGAGGTTCGTCAATGCCGCCGCCACCTTGCGGTTGCAATAGAAAATGAAGACGCTCCAGATCCTCCATGGTGAGCCTGACAGATAGGCCTACACTACCATGTTCCTCGTCATGATGTCGATGGATTTCTCCCGTGGAATACCGTTTCCAGGTTGGCCTCCTCGCATCTTCCATCGGTGGGGTTGGGGCCGGTGATGGAATAGCAGCAAGGTGCATACAAGCTCTGACTGCATCGGGGTTATGCGAGACGGCCGATAGAAGCAGGACCTTGCGAAGCTGTCGTAAGAGATAAGCCGTGCAATGCGAATTGTCGTTACTCCAGGCCGCGTGCAACCTCGTCCTTGGTGACAATGAGGGATGCTTGAGCAAGCTGCTAAAGTCGACCTTTCCGGAAGCAGCGGGGTTTGTCATTCCAGTCTCGGGGCCCGAACTGTTATTCTTTCCGTAGAATCTCCGTTCGTCCTGTCCGGAAAGATTGCGAAGAAATGCCATTTCTTCGCAGTGCAACAGGAGGAAGGTACCGACCAACCAGACCGGAAGTTCCTTTGCGGATGCTGAAGTGGAAAGTTTCTTTTTATCAAATGACAAGGGTCTATCGGTATGATGAGTTGTGCCACTTCCCATGCTACTGGTACTTCCACAAGAGAGAATAGGAGGAATATGGTTTGCCTCCTGAAAGTCGCTAGCGTGAGCACGGTTCGCCAAATAGAGCGTGTGGTACATGGTGGTCTGCCCATGCGGCAAGAAGATAAGAGGTATTGTATTGATACCAGTGAGAAAAACCTTGTATAGTCGAGATAGGCAGACAAACAAAAGAGAGTCTTACAATTTCCCAAAAGAGAGCCGCGCTGAAGACAGGGATTCAAAACAAGATGGATTCGACAACGGATGAGTCGGTGCAAAAAGTTAATAATAAATGTAGTAGCACAGAATGATGCTTCGGCTTTGGTATGGCTCCACCTACCTTGGCTCGGACCCTGTGATGGATTATACAAGGATGACAGTGATCGGTAGCGAAAAGTTTGTTAGGTCTCTTGTAAAGAGAAACAAAGCCGCAGAAACAACATCATCATATATTGCACCAAATAGAAGTACTTACAACCCAACACTCGCCAGGCTTCCGTGATCCAAGATGTGTACGGGATGGCATCTTTTCGATACGCTTGTTCTGCCAATGCCGATGTAATGGCGAGGCATAATGAGGGCGTCAATTCACGTGCATGCTTGGGGGATAAGATTGCACCGATGAAGGCGTGTGGTTTCGCTGCTAGCGTCATTGGGATCCTATTGCTGAGCGAATCGATTATCTGGAAGACACAAACAACCAGCGCCAAAGGTTCTCTGACTTCAATATAATTAACTTGAGAGTCGAGTCGAGTCTGAGGATGATAAATACCAGTCTGGTAGACTACCGTAGCTAGCTAGATGTTGTTTGCAGTTGCTGATTGCCGTATGATGGCGTCGGACAAAATGTTAACTTCCATCGCAGAGTTCTGCCAAAATAATAATAATATGGGTGCCCCAGACCTCCTGCTGGCTGGCTAGGCTAGCTCTAGCTAGCTAACTAGTTAGCAAATGCTCAAAGAAAAAATATTGGCAAACTTATAAAATGGGGTACATGTACCACCCAACCAATCAAGATCAGCTTCGTAGCAAATGTCGTCCAAAATGATCAACACGTCCCTATATTGCAAGAAGTCTGCGACTGTCTCGCGAACATGCAACATGAAGCCCTCCTCCCGACGCCGCCGCTTTGCCCTTGTCTCGCCCGGTGTGTGTATCAAGTCGGGGAACATGGGAACTTGCTCATCATAATGGCAAAAAGAGAAGAGTTGAGTCAGCCAAACCTAGTGTACACCATTTACAAAGGTACCTACGAGAAATTCCAAACATCAAGCGTTGTTTTTCCAACACCATCCACACCAAGGGACTCTGGGTCAGAGAAGAGTTCGGGCACACTTGAAACAGCCACAAGGTTTGTAGCTGATAATCCCCGAGGGTTTCGTATTGTGTTTCGAATGCTTGCAAAGCTGTCCAGCAGGGATGTATCTGTTATGGCTCTGGGTGGTAGGATCCTGCGCAGAATGCTGGCCATGGCAGCTTTTCGAGGCAAAGGATCACCGTGGACTTTCTCGAGCACCTGCTTCGCGGCATCTGGAACTGGAGCCATCTCGTAATCATCGCCTGGTTGAATTCTAGACTCGTCCATGTCAGCCGGATCGATTCCGCAGATATCCATCAACACTCTTGTGCCGGGGTGCATCACGAGCTATCACGTCAAGAGCCCTGCTGTAGCTCTCCATTGCTTCATGGTAGTCGCTCATCATCAAAAAGATGTCTCCAATCTTCTGGATGGTTTGAGCATACAAAAGATGGTCATCCCCACCATGGAGGGCACCATGATTCTAAGACATTGCTTCAGCGAGCTCAGCAATCTTTCATAGTCACTCATTGCCGCAATAGACAACACCAACATTGAAGAGAATGGCCGCCATAATCTCAATCATACCTCTATTAGATGAAGCGACCATGCAGTTCATATTGTTCGCTCTTCTTGTCGAGCAGCCGCACGCAAAAGAGGACAACGATCCTGATCCCTATCTGTCCACGCTGCCTGGCGTGGAAACCTGAACCCTCATGGGTTCTTCGACGAATGACTCGACTCACAGTTGCCAAACTGTACCATCTCACAAAACACGAAATCGATTCCCACACTTCGCTCCTACTCATCAAGTACATCTCTACATCTCTCAGGTCATCACCTGCGTTCCTGAAATGGATACCCCACATACATGTCGCTATGTCTGCCTCCTTCGCAAGATCAGCTCTAAGGCAATAGCACCCCTCGAAGACCGCTCACAGATAGCAACCTTGAATGAACACAACATGCAAGACCGGTCCAACTCTCTCTTTCAGCCATTGAACAGTCGATCGCAAGAAGGTTGTCTCCTTCTCTGCTCACAATTCTTCCTTCAGCCGAGCTGCAAGCAAGAACTAGAATAGATTAACCTCTTGCGTCGGCATCAGGGTCTAAATCTCTTCGAAATTCCTCGACCATGGCCGCCGCTTTATTCTCTACTCTCGTTGACCGCGGAAATCACTGGGACGCACCCGAGTTTGACTATGCCGCTCTTCTGACCCGTGTCGGTGGTAACGTTGACACGAACAGTAACGTCACTCAAACTACCTTGTGCTCTGCTGTCACGCGGTCTCCTCTTC